CTTTATATTAACCATGACAGCTGCACTATAGTCATTATTATTATGAAATGAAATAATGAAACCCAAACAAGAGAATTAACCATTTTTATATTGTTAATGAGAGGAGACAGAAGGCGTAATTGGAGAGATGGTTTGAAGGGAGAGATCTGGAGCTGGGGCAAAAGTCACCGTCAGAACAAATGAATGAAGAGGTTCGAAAATTAATAATATAACACGTGTTTATTATTGTTGAAAATGTCATATTACGCTATTTTCTGATCTCTGTTATAATGTTTCCTCACCACAAACAGACCTGGAGCTGTGTTTTGGAATTGCCAGTCTCTATTGAACTAAAGGTAAAAAGTAGCTGTTAACTTGAAAACTACCACTACATGACATCACAAGGTGGAACACTTTGAGCTGTGGAGATGTAAACAGACTAATAATAAAGAGTTACCATATTTTTTTATAATTTGCACCAGCCAAAAAATGTGTAATGAAGAAGAAAAAAACATATATAAGTTGCACTGGACTATAAGTCACACTTTTGGGGGAAATTTATTTTTTATAAAATCAGAGACCAGGAACCGATATTTCATGTGTAAAGTCAAGTTCTAGTAATAACAATAAAACAGAGAACAACAGACTGTTAACGTCACATATGAACAGTTCTTCAGATAAACTATAACATAAACAACAGAACAGAACAAGTTTACCAAACTCTCCATCTCACTCCAAATCACTAAATCCATTCAATTCTTCATCCTCGTGTCACTTCTGAACAACTCCACAACCTCCGGAGGTAAACAGAGCACTGCTTCCTCTTCTGTGTAGCTGTTGTCAGACTCAGCATCAGTTGAAGTTAGAATTATTCTGGCCTTTCTGAAATCGACAGGATGGTTTCAGTGTCACTGAAGTCCAGGCTTTGCTGATCCATCCAGTGACTTCAGGAAAGTTTCATGGTGCATCCTCCTGGTGTCACAAGTTGCTCACTCCAAACTTTCTTTCTGCTTCTTGATTGTTTTCGGCTGCAGATTTCACTATTTGCAGTTTGTAATCTGCAAAATATGATTTTGTTTTTGGGGACATTTGTGTTCAGACTTCTCAGTCGTCTTAATAAGTTTGTTTAAATTAAACATTTTCAGTGGTACAGAAGTAATGGTGCGACTGACACGATACAGACAGAACAGAGGCTCTTTCTGCAGGAGACATGCAGTATAGTAAGTGACAGTGGTACAGGAGGAACAGGAGCAGCAGATACTGACACACAAGATTCGAGCCTCTCACCACTGTCAGTGTGAACATTTTAATATATAAGTCACACCAGAGTACAAGTCGCAGGAAACACCCAAACCATGAAAAAACTTGTGACTCATAGTCCGAAAAATACGGTACTCAGAAATGTGTGAATGAAACAAAACTCATCTCCAGGTCTGTTTTTGAGGAGGTAAAAACATTCTAACATGATTAAAATCTCACAAGAGTAAATTCTGCGTAATTTAAAACAGAAGACTAGGACTTGACTCAGACTTGAGATTTACTTGAGACATGCAAAACAATGACTTGGTCCCATCTCTGTTGTTCCGTATCCTGTTTTTGTACATTTATGGAGAATTATCGAACAGACTCTTACAGCTAATCATAAGAAGGGTTCAAAAAGGGTCTGAGAGAGATCACTAAATTACTCAATCATGCATGGGTGACATCCAAAAGCTCTTCAGGCATGTTTTTGATGATGGAACAACATTATAACATATTGTAGAAAGCTCCAAAAAACTAACTAACTATCTGACATTGAATACAAGTGACGTAGGTGTCTGGCTCACGGACACGATGGCAGTGTGGAGTGGAAGAGGCGGGAGTTGAACCTGCAACCTTCCGATCAGATTGGATACTTAAGGGTTTTACAAATGTCCATAGGGGAAAGAAACGGTCAGAGCAAAAAGGTGAAAGACGTAACAATTTGTACGTAAAGTTGTTTTTATTTCACAATATTACAATAGTCTTCGTTTCTTTCTGTTAGTCTCAGATATTTCAAACGCTTCAGAACAATTTGTTGGTAGAAAAAGACATACATGACACAGAAATGAGTTTATAAAGCCGTCAGTAACATTGTCGTATTATTTAAACATTGAATCAATCTGAACCAGGATCAGATCTAAAGCGAGAATGAACCAGCGTCTTATCAGGACTAAACCAGGTCTATCCCCGGTCTAAACAGAACTAAACCTGGTCTAACTTCTGTCAGTACCACAGACTGTATAAAGAAGTGGACAAAAGGAGTGTGTAGCGTTCAGTTTCAGTCAAATGAAGCTCAGAGCGGCCACAGTTACAGGAACGAATTTGCAATCGAGTTCCATATTTGGACTAGGAATTTATGGACAAAAAAGTTAAATAAAAACCCCACGATCACGTAGCATGGGTTAATTTGAACATTTTAAGACCAATATGAGTCTCACAGCAGCGATTACAAAGAGAGGAGACTTTTTTTAGTGTAAAATCAATTGGAGCAAGAGTCGATGGAGCCAGAAGTGCGTATGTGCTGACTTCCTTTTTGAAAAGTGGCTATGTCCATTTATTAGGGATGTAATAATAACTGAAATATTGTGATATCGTATCGTCAAAATTCTCACAATAATATCGTGGACCATCACAATATATCGAGTTACAAGTCTCTTTGCTTAAATGAAGAGTTATGGTGCAGCAACAGCTAAAAAAAGACAAAGGGAACTACATAGACCATGAGCCTTTGCTCCATTTCAGTGCAGACTACATGAAGAAATAACAGTTCTAAGCACTTTAAGACTTCGTTCTTTGGATTAAGTCTTGTCAAGGCATTTTAAGAGGAAAAAGTAGCGTATTAACAGTTGTGAGCCTCCACAAAATATCGCAATAAATATCGAACTGTGAGATGTATATCGTGAAAATATCGTACCGAGAGATATGGATATTGTTACATCCCTAATCATGAGCCTCCCCGCCATATCATGATATGCCCCACGATATCGCAAAAAATATCGAACTGTGAGATGTATATCGTGAAAATATCGTACCAAGAGATTTTGAATATTGTTACATCCCTAATTGTGAGCTTTACCATGATATCACAATAAGTATCGTACTGTGAGGTTCATATCGTGAGATTTGGATATCGTTACACCCCTACCATTTATATATACAGTCTGTGGTCTACAGCGGGACTAAACCAGGTCTAACCCCGGACTAAACCAGGTCTAAACTTGGCCTAAATCAGGACTAAACCAGTCCAAATTGGGCACTAAACCCAGTCCAGTTTTGTATGAATGGACAAGGGAACAGCTGATAGACATATTTCTCTCTTATAACAACAAAGACATGATACGTTAAAGGTGCACTATGTAACATTTCTAGTGGAGGGTCCGCTATCGTCATTGTCTTCATGTAGATGTTTTAGATTTTCTGGAAATGTTCCACTGTATGGCATTAATCATGTATCTCAATGGATACAACCAGGCTAGTTTGAAGGATGGTTCTGTTTTGTCCTGTTATGTTTGAGCAATAAAAGCACTTGAAATGAACATACTTAAGTTTAATGACATACCGTGGAACATTTCATGGCAATAACTATATCTCCAAGAGGCAACCAGGTGAAGTTACAAGTCAGATCTATGGAGATAACAGTAAGAATGCACGCTTCTCAAGGTATTTTTGAGCAATAAAAACACCTGTACAGTCGTCCCTCGCTATATCGCGGTTCACCTTTTGCGGTCTTGCTGTTGATTTTTTTAGAGCAATTTTGCATGCCTTTTTTTAATTTTACAGCGTCTGAGTGCATATTGTGTTCCTCCCCCTGCGTCCTGATTGGCTAAGGGACTGCAGATCATTGTCAATCAATCTCCTCTGTGCCATGTCTCCTCTACAGTACAGAATGTGTTCAGCTACCAAATTGACATTAATGTTCGATCTCTGGCAGTGTGATTCTGAAGTGCAATTGCCGCGTTTACCGTGAGGTTTGGAGCTCTCCATCAGTCCTTTCTCCTGTGGTCACCTCCGAGCCTGTCCCAATTATGAGTAATGGTTTAGTCCTGGTTTAGTCCTCCTCTTCAGTCCTGGGATCAGTCCTAGGTTAGTCCTGAATTAGTCCTGGTTTAGTCCTAGTTCAATCCTGGTTTAATCCTCCTCTTTAGTCCTGGGATCAGTCCTAGGTTAGTCCTGGGTTAGTCCTGGTTTAGTCCTAGTTCAATCCTGGTTTAATCCTCCTCTTTAGTCCTGGGATCAGTCCTAGGTTAGTCCTGGGTTAGTCCTGGTTTAGACCTGGTTTAATCCTGATTTAGTCCTGGTTTAGTCCTTGTTCAGTCCTGATTTAGTCCTCCTCTTCAGTCCTGGAATCAATCTTGGGTTAGTCTTGGTTCAGTCCGTGGTGTATGCAGCGCAAAAGTTTGATATAATCTCGGGTTAACGGGCGGGTGCGGTCCTGTACTGTGGTGTTGTACTGCGTGGGTGCGGGTCTCTAAAGATGGACCCGTGCAGGACTCTGCGCTGTAGGGCTCCATTATGCAATAAATGAATCTTCAGTTCGTTACATAAAGAAGGAGGAAAATAACAAAAGGACGACAGCAGCAATACATTTTAAAAAGGCTGCAAAAAGGGTTGCACCTGTCCTGTCTGAAATATGTGTATGTAAAAGTGTGTGGTAGTGAGGGGTTTTACAGCTTTAAAACAGATATAATCATTGTAAAATATAAAGTTGACTTCTTCGTGGATTTCACCTATCGTGGGTTATTTTTAGAACGTAACCCCGCGATAAACGAGGGACCGCTGTACTGAAACAAATGCAAGATATAGTTTAATGCCATATTAAGGAACATTAACATCTCCATGAAGACAAGCAGGATTCGGACCGTCCTGTAAAGAAATTCAAAGATCATGATAGAATTCTGACTCCCGCAGTATCCTCAGTCTCTCATATAACACACACACACCGTCTGTAGTTCATTATAAGTTCATATTGAGTTTGTTTTGGTGTGTGCGTGAGTTTGTCGTCATGGCGACCCCAGCGTATCGAAGCCGCAGAACTTCCATCGTTTCTCCAGATTGGCCCCGACTCCGCTCAGCTCCTGCCTGAACATGGAGGGAAGACGCAGCATCAGGCGCTCCAACTCTCCCCCCGTCACCTGGAAGAGGAGAGAGACAAGATCAGGACTAAACCAGGACTAAACCAGGACTAAACCAGGACTAAACCAGGACTAAACCAGGGCTAAACCAGGACTAAACCAGGGCTAAACCAGGAAAACCAGGATAAACCAGGAAAACCAGGAAACTAAACCAGGAATAAACCAGGACTAAACCAGGACCAGGGTAAACCAGGACTAAACCAGGACTAAACCAGGACCAGGACTAAACCAGGGCTAAACCAGGACTGAACCAGGACTAAACCAGGAATAAACCAGGACTAAACCAGGACTAACCAGTAAACCAGGACCAGGGCTAAACCAGGAAACCAGGACCAGGATAAACCAGGGCTAAACCAGGATAAACCAGGGCTAATAAACCAGGACTAAACCAGGACTAAACCAGGGCTAAATAAACCAGGATAAACCAGGACTAAACAGGACTAAACCAGGGCTAAACCAGGACTAAACCAGGAATAAACCAGGACTGCCAGGCTAAACCAGGAATACATGACAAACCCAAGCCTAAACTGGGACTAACCCAGATCTAAACCAGGTCTAAACCAGGTCTAAACCAGGACTAAACCAGGGCTAAACCAGGGCGAGACCAGGGCTAGACCTGAACGAGACCAGGACAAAAACAGAGACTGAACAATGACTAAAGACTAAAGCACTAAACTTGAATTAGATCAGCGCTAAACCAATAAAACAGGAATAGACAAGGACTAAACCAGGGCTAAAGTAGGACTAGGCCAGTACTAAACAAGGTCTAGATCAAGGCCAAGGCTAAACCAGGGACTAAACCAGGTACTGAATGAGGGCTAGACCACAACTAAACTAGGACTAAACCAGGATTAGATCAGGACTAAACCAGGATAAAAAACAAGACTAAACAAAGGACTGAATGAGGACTAAACACCCTAACCCTAAACCACGACTAAACAAGTACTAAACTAGAGATAAACCTGGACTAAACCATGACTAAATGAGGACTAAACCAGGGACTAAACAAGTACTATACTAGGACTAGACCAGGGCTAAACCACCAGACATAAACCAGGACTACAGGGAGAGAGGTAAGACCAAGAGTGAACCAGGAATAAAAGAGGACTAAACCAGGACTAAACCAGGGACTGAACGAGGACTAAACAAGCACTATCCTAGAACTAGATCAGGGCTAGGCCAGGGCTAAACCACCACAGATGAACCACGACAGGAAGAGAGAGATCTAAAACCAAGACTGAACCAGGGTTAAATGAGGACTAAACCAGGACTAATCCAGGACTAAACCACGGACTGAACAAGAACTAAACAAGCACTATCCTAGGACTAGATCAGGGCTGGACCAGGGCTGAACCACCAAAGTCACACCAGGACTAAACAGGACTAGAACAGAAATAGACCAGGACTAGACCAGGACTAAACTAAGATGAAATCAGGACTAAACGAGGCTAAACCAGAACTAAACCCGGACTAAACAAAAGACTTCATTCAAACCTCACCTTAGAGTCCAGTCTCTGCATGTAGGACCACAGATACTCCAGGTTGGCTCCAAACGGATGGACATGGAGGAAGGTGGACATGACACCTGCAGAAGAGAGCAGCGTCGTCCAATCAGAACAGTCGAAACGATATACTGTGTAACTTTCCAGGTTTAGAGAAGTAATTAGAGCATTAATTACAGAAATATGAGTCATAAACCATCAACAAATCCAATATCATCGGTCTGCTGAACATAAATAGGTGTTTGTTCCCTAAACAGGAACACCTCCCGTTTTCTTCTTCTCCTTCCACGAGGAGCTGTCAACATCTGGTGTAACATATACTGTATGTCAAGTAAGACTGATACATTGACATTAGCACTGAACCTGTAGACATGTACAGATGTAGATGGGTCCAGTCAAGTGGTAACGGAGGGAAACAGGGGCAGATTTTTTACATTCAAATGTCTCTTATTCAGAAACTAGAGGGACTATTGAAATAAGTAAAGTATCAGAATGTAGGAAAGAGTTACACTCCAACAGGGTCAAGTTAAACCTGTGAGATTCTGTCAAGTTGTTGACAAAAAATTTAAAAACTCATGTCCTTAACAGAGGGAATAAAATATTCAACACTTTTTGGGCAATAAATCCAAACAGTGATAACTCTTGGTTCTCACTTACATATCCTTAACAAACTGGTTTGAATATTTGCTTCATATAGTTTTCTACCATATGGTACAAGATTAGGTTGAAAAACCTCTTACTTTTTGAGTCATGAGATTTTTTATTAAGAAAGGTCATGGTAACGGAGGGAAAAGTAACGGAGGGAAAAGTAACAGAGGGAAAATTGTGCAAACAAGTAGAAGGTGCATTATTTTACATAATTTGTCAGTTTTTTTCTTCCGAATACTTTAATATTACTTCAAAATGAAAGGAAACTATTTCTATAAAATATGTCAGTCCTTCCAAGCTAATTTTTATCATTTTAAATAATTTTTTTTTTTTAAATCATGTATGTTCATCAACAGTTCAAAGATGGAATAACACAAGATATGATGAAATACATCCATTTATTTACATGATTTGCAGGTCTTTGAAATTTGGGAAATAATTTTTGTTCCATGTTTCATACATGGTCTGTTTAAAACGTATGGAACTTTAGAACCAAAAATGGTACAGAAAAAAGGTCAACAGTTTCATAAACTAGAGTACATATGTATCTGTTCAATACATTTTATATCAGATGCATTAACTTGAATTTTTGGCCTTGTTGTTTACTTCTGCTTGACCGGGCCCAGATATAGATGTATTATTGTTTATGACTGAACCGAGTAGTAAAACCAGGAACTTCAAGTTTAAATGCTAAGCCGCCACTGAACGTTGCGTAGTAAAATGTTGGGTTGTGCAGTGCATTGTTTTACTTCTTAAAATAGCTTATGTCCCCTTCCAAAAACAAAACAAAACAAACAAACAAAAAAAAACTATATTGTAGTTCCTACTTCCTTCAGTACATTCAACACATCAGTAGGTCTACTGCTGTGAGTGCATCATTTGGATATGAAAAAACTGCCTTTATGATAAATACTTATGTAACGATGTACTTGGGCATGCTGTACAATGCAATATATTTTGGACATGAACATATTGCAGTACTGTTTTCATGTCATTTTTATCAATCACAGATAAGAAGGGGAAGCATAGCTGTCAATGTGTGGGTCAGATACCTCTCGTGAAACACAAATGTTGCCGCTTTGCTTCGACCACACACAGTGTAGACTTTTGCCAAGAAGAAGCGAAAAAGCGGAAGAGTGCAAAATTCTTTCTGATTGGTTGATTACACATTAGAGGAATGCCCATTAGGGAATTTGTGTTGCACGTCTGGAGCATCAGTGCTACACACCGACCGTCCTCAACAAATCTGCAATCTGACAGTTAAACAACAAATTTCACCTGAAAATTCTGACTTTCCAGCACCACTTTTAAGTTCATTTTCTATAGTGCGATATCTGTTAAATAGTGAAATCCACCAAATGTTTATTTAGTAGAGAGATGGTGCAAAAGTTGAAGCGTCTCGGAGACAAAGCGGCCCCTCTCATCTCATTTCCTAATGACTCCAGGGGCCTTTAAATCAATACAACGTGAAATTAAATCTGCCCCACAGAAAAACCAAGTGTAACCAGCCCTCCATTCAATTCATCCATTTTCATTTGGTTTAGACGCACACGGCACAGGACAGACGAGAGACACACAGAGGAGGGAGAGAAAGAGGAGGGGGAGGTGAGGAAGAGAGGTGATGAAGAGGGAGGGGAGATAGGGGGAGAAAGAAGGGGGGAAAGGAGAGAAGGGGAGAGAGAGGAGAGAAAAAGGAGAGCGAAAAGAGGGAGAGAGAGGGGAGGGAGGGGGGAGAGAGAAAGCAGAGCAAGAAGAGAGAGAGAGAGAGAAAGAGGGAGAGAAAGAGAGAAGAGGGAGAGGGGCGAGGGCAGAGAGAGAGAGAAAGGAGAGCGAGAGGAGGGAGGAAGAGATGGAGAAAGGAGAGCGAAACAAGGGAGAGAGAGGAGGAGAGAGAGAGGAGGAAGAGAGAGAGGGAGAAAGGAGAGAAGGAGAGAGAGAGCAGAGAGAAAGGAGAGCGAAACACGGGAGAGAGAGGAGGGATAGAGAGAGAGAAAGGAAAGCAAGAAGAGGGAGACAGTGGAGAAAGAGGAGGGAGAGAGAGAAGAGGTGCAGAGAGAGAGAGGAAAGAGAAAGGAGAGTGAGACAAGGGAGAAAGAGAGGAAAAGAGAGAGAGGAGAGAGAAAGGAGAGCAAGTGGGGGGAGAAAGAGAGGAGAGAGAGAGAGAGAGAGAGAGAGAGAGAGAGAGGGGGGGTGGAGAGGTGTGTTAGAGTAAGTAGAAGAAGAGAAGCAAGAATGGAGAAGTGATAAGAGAGAGAAGGAGAAAGAGAGAGGGGGAGATACAAGAGGAAGAGGGAGACAGACAGACAGAGAACAACAGAAAGAGAGAGAGAGAGAGGGTGGAGTGGAGAGATAATAGAGGAGGGAGAGAGAGAGAGAGAGAGAGAGAGAGAGAGAGAGAGAGAGAGAGAGAGAGAGAGAGAGAGAGAGAGAGTGAGAGAGAAAGAGGAGAGAGAGAGAGAGAGAGAGAGAGAGAGAGAGAGAGAGAGAGAGAGAGAGAGAGAGAGAGAGAGAGAGAGAGGGGAGACAATAGAAGACAGATGGGAGTGCGTAAGGTTAGACAAGGCGACAGAGCAGCCTTTAGTCCTGCATTCAACCAACAGACTTTCATTTAATTACATTTTCCTTCCACTCATTTCAACACAAAGCCTGAGTGTGGCACCTTCACCTCACAGCAGCGGGGTCCTGTTCCACTCAGGCTGTGGGCTCTGTGGGTCTGCACGTGCCCCACACTGCTCCTCACGAGTGTAACCCACAAGTGAGAAAAGGGGGAGTCGAATGTAGAGGACAAGTTTGAAATCGTCTTATAATTCATCCTCTGCATTTGACCCATTCTTCGGTGTCTCTGGGTTAGACGTGCATTTCAACTATTCCTCAATGTCTCTGTGTTAAACCTGCATTTGACCTATCCTTTAGTGTCTCTGAGTAACCCTGTTTTTTGGCCTATCCTTCAGTGTTTTATTGATTAAACCTGCATTTGACCCATTCTTCAGTGTCTCTGGGTTAAACCTGCATTTGACTCATCATCCAGTGTCTCTGGGTAAGACCTGCATTTGACCCATTCTTCAGTGTCCCTGGGTTAAGCTTGCATTTGACCCATCATTCAGTGTTTCATTGATTAAACTTACATTTGACCCACCCCTCAGTGTCTGTGGGTTAAACCTGTATTTGACTCAACCTCCAGTGTCTCTTGGTTAAACCTACATTTGACCCATTCCTTCAGTGTCTCTGGGTTAAACCTACACTTGACCCATCCTTCAGTGTCTCTGGGTTAAACCTACACTTGACCCATCCTTCAGTGTCTCTGGGTTAAACCTGCATTTGACCCACTCTTCAGTGTCTCTGGGTAACCCTGTATTTAACCCATCTTTCAGTGTTTTATTGATTAAACCCATTCTTCACTGTCTCTGAGTTAAACCTAGATTTGACCCATCTTCCAGTGTTTCTGGGTTAAACCTACATTTAACTCATCTGTCAGTGTCTCTTGGTTAGACCCTTCTTCCAGTGTCTCTGTGTTAAACCTGCATCTGACCCAACCTTCAGTGTCTCTGGGTGAGCCTGCATTTGACCTATGGTTCAGTCTCTCTGGGTTAGACCTGCATTTGTACTGTTCATCAGTGTCTCTGGGTTAAACCTATCAGGAGCAGTGGGACCCATCTCCAGACACAGGCAGAAGATGCAAATTCCACACAGAAAAGATGTAAAGGCCTGACCAACCTGTGAGTTGAACCCAGAACCTTCTTGCTGTGAGCTCAAAGTGCTAACCAGTCATCCACCAAACCAATGCACCATGAGTAAGTGATGTCTCCATTTGTTTTAATAACAGACATTTACTGAATCCATTTAAATCCTCCTTAAGAGATGTAGTATGTGATGAGAGCTCCTGTTTTAAAAGCTCTTCTATTGTAAACAGTCTAATGTGTGATATGATGTTACATTTGTATATTTTTAATGCATTGACAGTGTTGGGGAGTAACAGATTACATGTACCAGAGTTACGTAATCAGAGTACAAATTATGAGTAACTGTATTCAATTACAGTTACTGTTGAAGTGAGTTGTAATTAGATTACAGTTACTTTGTTGAAATAAATGGATTACACATTTTGGACTATATCCCTTTTTTTTTTTTTTTTTGGTAATTCCACTCATTGCTGGACACTAAACCAGGTCTAAAACCAGGTCTAAAACCAGGTCTAAACCAGGACTAAACTAGATCTAACCTAGGTCTAAACCAGGTCTAAACCAGGTCTAAAACCAGGTCTAAACCAGGTCTAAAACCAGGTCTAAAACCAGGTCTAAACCAGGTCTAAACCAGGTCTAAACCAGGTCTAAACCAGGTCTAAACCAGGTCTAAAACCAGGTCTAAACCAGGTAAACTAAAACCAGGTCTAAACCAGGTCTAAACCAGGTCTAAACCAGGTCTAAACCAGGACTAAACCAGGACTAAACCAGGTCTAAACCAGGTCTAAAACCAAGTCTAAACCAGGACTAAACCAAGTCTAAACCAGGACTAAACCAGGACTAAACCAGGTCTAAACTATGTCTCAAAAAGGATTTAACAAGACTAAACTTCTTCTATCAATACTATTTTTTATTTAGTTAAATAAAGTCTGGGCTTTTTATTTTCTTTTAGCAGACAAAACATCTTATGTTATGATTTCCTCGTCTTTGCTTCTCTACAGCAAACCAAGTAATCCAAAGTATTCAGATTACGTTACTCACTTTAAATAATTTAATGGATTACATTACAAACTACATTTTGAGGTATGTAATCTGTAATCTGTAGGGGAAAACATTTTAAAAGTCACCTTCCCAACACTGTGTATTGACTGTATTGACCAGGTCGTTTGTTAATGAGAACTGGTTAATAAAGGGAAATGCTGTTTATACTGGAATATAAAATAAAAATACTGTAAATGTCTGTTTGTGTTTTGGTCAGCTGGAGTTACACAGCAGTGACAGAGGAGCTCACACACAGAAGAGCGTGGCTATTTTTTCATGTGAGTTTGTGAGAGTCACTAAAAGAGACGGATGTGACACTTTAGACCAGCTCAGAGATACAGGCTCTTACACTGAAGTCTGCAGAGTCTGGAGGAGGGAGCAGACGAAAGCAGACTTACCCAGGAGCAGGGCCTCTCTCTCGGACACGATGCCTCCTCTCCTCCCCTCTCCTCTGCGCTCTCGACTCGGGGACACGCACGGGACACAGCCGCTCACCACCTATGGGCCAAAACATGACAGTACACATGACAGGAGCTGAGGAGGATGTTAATACCCCACTTCTATGGCATTTTAACTGCTAACACAACATTCGATTTGATCACCATGTTACCTTTTATTGTTTTGAAAAGACTCAATTCGCTGGAAAAGCTTAACATGTTTTATAAGTTTCAGTTTCATTTTTGACGCTCTGAATCAAAAGTCGCTCTCCCTTCACGCGCTATCACGTTACAGTTGACCTGTGCTCTGGTCAGTGTTGGGAAGGTGACTTTTAAAATGTATTTCCCTACAGATTACAGATTACATACCCCAAAATGTAGTTTGTAACGGAATCCATTAAATTACTTAAAGTGAGTAATGTAATCTGAATACTTTGGATTACTTGATTTGCTGTAGAGAAGCAAAGACTAGAATACCGTAACATAAGATGTTTTGTCTGCTAAAAAAAAATAAAAAGCCCAGACTTTACTTAACCAAATTAAAAAGTATTATTGAGAGAAGAGGAGGAGGAGACACGGTCCGCACAGCATGGTTTAGTCCTGGTTTTAGTCCTGGTTTAGTTCTGTTTTAGTCCTGGTTTTAGTTCTGGTTTAGTTCTGTTTTAGTCCTGGTTTTAATCCTGGTTAAGTCCTGGTTTCAGTCCTGGTTTTAGTCCTGGTTTAGTTCTGTTTTAGTCCTGTTTAGTCCTGGTTTTAATCCTGGTTAAGTCCTGGTTTCAGTCCTGGTTTTAGTCCTGTTTTAGTTCTGTTTTAGTCCTGGTTTTAATCCTGGTTAAGTATTGGTTTTAGTCCTGGTTTAATCGTGGTTTTAGTCTTGATTTAGTCCTGGTTTTAGTCCTGGTTTTAGTCCTGGTTTTAGACCTGGTTTTAGACCTGGGTTAGACCTGGTTTAGTGTCCAGGAAGGACTGGTAATACTGAAGGAAAAAAAAAAAAAAAAAAAAAAAAAAAGGATTTAGCCCAAAATGTGAAAGGAAAATACCTCCATGTAATCCATTTATTTCAACAAAGTAACTGTAATCCAATTACCACTCACTGAAACAGTAACTGTAACTGAATACAGTTACTCATAATTAGCATTCTGATTACGTAACTGTGGTGCATGTAATCCGTTACTCCCCAACACTGGCTCTGGTAATGAAGCTACTGCACATCGTATCGGGTTTGTCAAGTTGTAGTGCAGGGGTCATCAAACTATGGCCCGCGGGACAACTCCCGGCCCGCCACGCCCCTTTGACTGGCCCTTCACTACTTGAACTGGCCCTATGAGGCAATCCTCAAAAGTTGTCATGGCCTAACTACTTTTTGTCAAATAATAACACGTGTGCATCTTGTATTTTGTTCATTTTTTCAATTAAAAAAGGATATTTATATGAAGTATTTGTATTTATATTTAAATAATTATATGCCGTATTTACATTTGCTGCAGAATTTTCGTCACGTGACAAACTCAAGTTCAAACAGCGAGAGTCAACACCTGTGCAGAGTTCTGTAGTGCAGTAAAGAACAACAAAATGACTTGTGTTAATGTACAAAAACTTCACAGAGAGTGTCAAGTTTTCAAAGAACAGGGGATGACCGATTATTTTTTGTTCAGTGTAAGGACCGTGCCGTTTGTCTGATATGTAAAGAAAGCGTATCGGTTTTTAAAGAACATAATCTGCGTCGTCATGGTCAAACAATTCTGTTATACGACTGACCCGACCCTGGCCCCCGTCACAGTCAGGAGCCATAATGTGGCCCCCAGAGAAAAAAGTTTGGTGACCCCTGTTGTAGTGTGTCGTTTTGTATTATGTTTTTGTATATTTATGGAGAATTGTCATGTGGGAGGCCAATTATCTTACAGAATCTTACAGCTAACCATAAGGAAGGTCTGAATTGGGCCTGGGAGAGATCGCTAAATTATTCAGACATGCTTTTCAATAAAGTATAGAACCTTTACAATGTTAAATGCCTGTTAATCCTCCATATATGCTCATATTATCTTAGATATGTTTTGAATTGAGATAGACAGAGGTGTGGCTGCCATTCTGTTCTTCTGAATTATGAAGACAATTTTATTAATTTTGAAATATACAATAGAATAGAAATAGTAAAGTTTGTGGTGTATGTTGTAAGGATTTGTTGTCTTATATTGTCACAGTTGTGTCAGTGCAGTGGAGTGAACTGTACCTCGTCCTGTAGTTCAGAACTGGTGCTTTCCACAGTCTCCACACTGTTGTTTAGCAGCTGGGAGAGAAGAGAGAGAACAGAGGTTTATTTAACACAAAAATACTGAGGTCTATAAGTCTTTAAGTCCTGGTTTAGATCTTATTTAGACCTGCTTTAGACTTGGTGTAGTCCTGGTTTAGACCTGGTTTAAACTTCATATTGTTATTCAGCAGCTGATCACAAAGAGAATAGAAGTCTATTTAACACCTGCATCCTTGTCTAGTCCTGGTTTAGTCCTGGTTTGGACCTGTTTAGTCCTGGTTCAGTTCTAGTTTAGGCTTGGTTTAGATCTGGTTTAATCCTTGTTTAGACCTGGTTTAGTCCTGTTTCAGTCCTGGTTTAGCCTTGGTTTAGTCCTGGTTTAGTTCTGGTTTAGTCCTGATTTTGTCCTTTGGTTTTGGTTTAGTCTTTTAGACCTGGTTTAGTCCTGGTTTAATCTTTGTCTAGTCCTGGTTTAGTACCTGGTTTAGTCCTGTTTAGTCCTGGTACAGCCTTGGTTTAGTCCTGGTTTAGTCCTGATTTACTACTGATTTAGCCTTGGTTTAGATCTGGTTTAGTTCTGGTTTAGTCCTTGTCTAGTCCTGGTTTAGTTCTCGTTTAGTGCTTGTCTAGTCCTGGTTTAGTTCTAGTTTAGTCCTTGTCTAGTCCTGGTTTAGTCATGGTCTAGTCCTCGTATAGTCCTGGTTTAGCTCTTTTTTTTTTTGGTTTTTGTAGCAGTGGTTTATTTTAGTCCTGATTTAGTGCTCTTGAATTGTAGTTGTGGTTTAGTCCTGATTTTGATATTATAAACTTGGTTTAGGAATTTCACAGAACCAATTTAGTCCTGGTTTAGTCCTTTTGGTTTAGTCCTGCATAGTCCTGGTTTAGTCTTGTTCAGTCTTATTTCACAGACATTTTTTCAGTCCGGGGTTGGTCCTTTTGTAGTCTTGCTCTGGTCCTTGTTTAGTCCTGTTTATTCCACAGCAAAGGAGCAGAGGGAGATGTCTGTTCTTTGAAAATGTTCCAGTATAAACCTTTATCCGTGAACTGAAAGCTCTGTTGTGTTCTAATGCAGCTGTGCCATTCAAGACCAGTGACCCATTTACCGCCTCACCGAGCCCATCAAAAAACACACTGTAGCTGCTTCATACTGACCACTGTGTGTGTCTGCTCTCTGCTCTAGACCTGGTTTAGACCTGGTTCTGTCCTGGGTCTGTCATGGTTCTGTCCTAGTTCATTCCTGGTTTAGTCCTGGTTTAATCCTGTTTCAGTCCTGCTTTAATCCTGGTTTTCTCTTGGTTTAGTTCTGGTTCAAACCTTGATTTAGTCCTGGTTTAGATCTGGTTTAGTCCTAATTTAGTTATGGTTTAGTCCTAATTTAGTCCTGATTTAATCCTGATTTAGTGGCAGGTCAGTCCTGGTTCAGTCCTGGTTTAGTTCTGGTTTAGTCCTGGTTTAGTCCTAGTTTAGTTCTGGTTCAAATCTAGATTTAGTCCTGGTTTAGTTCTGGTTTAGTCCTGGTTTTATCCTGGTTTAGTTCTGGTTCAAACCTTGATTTAGTCCTGGTTTAGTTCTGATTTAATCCTAATTTAGTCCTGGTTTAGTCCTGGTTCAATCCTGGTTTAGTTCTGGTTCAGTCCTGGTTTAGTCCTGGTTTAGTTCTGGTTCAAATCTAGATTTAGTCCTGGTTTAGTCCTGGTTTAGTTCTGGTTTAGTCCTAATTTAGTCCTGGTTCAGTCCTGGTTTTGTCCTGGTTTAGTTCTGGTTCAAACCTTGATTTAGTCCTGGTTTAGTCCCAGTTTAGTAGCAGTTCAGTCCTGGTTTAGTCCTTGTTTAGTCCTAGTTTTGTCCTTGTTTAGTCCTTGTTTAATCCTGGTTTAGTGCTGGTTTAGCTCTGGTTTAATCCTGATCCAGTCCTGCTTTAATCCTGGTTTAGTCCTAGTTTATCTCTGTTTCAAACCTTGATTTAGTCCTGGTTTAGTTCTGGTTTAGTCGTAATTTAGTTCTGGTTTAGTCAGTCCTAGTTTAGTCCTAGTTTAGCTCTAGTTTAATCCTGGTTCAGTCCTGGTTTAATCCTGGTCTAGTCCTGGTTTAGTTCTGGTTCAAACCTTGATTTAGTTCTGGTTGAGTCCTAGTTTAGAATCATTTTTTACTAGTCACTTGGAGTAAAACGCTGGTTTAATCCTAGGTTAGCTCTGGTTACGTCTAACTTAAAATACCTGGTTTAGTTCTGGTGCAATCATGGTTTCATCCTGGTTTGGTTCTGAGTCGATACTTTTGGTTTTTTTTTAGCTCTGATTGTGTTCCAAGCCTGCTGTCCTGGTTTGCTCTTACCTGGTTTAGTCTATTGCACTTAATGGCTCAGTCTAATACCTGGATATTGTTTGGCCTTGTTTATCCGTGTAGTCTCTTAGTCTGATGAGGTCTACAGCTGCTGCATAGATCTGTAACATGAGCCTCTGCTGCTATTAGTGCTACACTCACAACATCACCTCCCTCCTCCTCTGCCTCATCTGATCTCCTCCTCTGCTCCGCCTGACATTCTCCTCTGCGCCATATGAGCCTCCTCTCCATATGACCTCCTCCTCTGCTCCATCTGACCTCCTCCTCTCCATCTGACCTCCTCTATCCTGTCTGACCTCCTCCTCTGCTCCATGTGACCTTCTCCTCTGCTCCATCTGACCTCCTCCTCTGCTCCATATGACTTTCTCTTCTTCTCTCCTCTGCTTCTTCTGACACCCTCCTCTGCTCCTCTGACCTTCTCCTCTCCTCCTCTGACCCTCTTCTCTGTTCCTCTGACCTTCTCCTCTGCTCCATATGACTTTCTCTTCTTCTCTCCTCTGCTTCTTCTGACACCCTTCTCTGTTCCTCTGACCTTCTCCTCTGCTCCATATAATCTCCTCCTCTCCATCCGACCTCCTCCGCCCCGTTTGACCTTCTTCTCTGCTCCGTTTGACTTTCTCTTTTGCTCCATGTGACCTTCTCCTCTGCTCCATCTGACCACCTCTTCTGCTCCATATGACCTCCTCCTCTTGTCTCCTCTGCTTCTTCTGACCTCCTCCTCTGCTCCATATGACCTCCTCCTCTGCTCCATATGACCTCCTCCTCTTCTCTCCTCTGCTTCTTCTGACACCCTCCTCTGCTCCATCTGACCCTCTCCTCTGCTCCATATAACCTCCTCCTCTCCATCTGACCTCCTTTGCCCCGTTTGACCTTCTTCCCTGCTCCGTTTGACTTTCTCTTTTGCTCCATCTGACCTCCTCCTCTGTTCCTCTAACTTTCTCCTCTCCAATCCTCTTCTCTTCTGGCCCTCTCCCCCTCCTCTTCTCCATTGGTCTAGAGTATTGTTTTGTTTTGTTCATAGCTCACACACTGAAGAGTTTTGAAAACAGTAGAATTGGAGACATATTCACACAAGTCAATCATGATGAATACTGCATTATGTCTGTCAGTTATGAACTGTGAGTGGCTTTTCCTCGCTGCCAGAGCACTTACTGTGGTCACTACATTCACATTCTGTTTACAGATGCCTTTCTTTCTGCTCCAGTCTTCCTGATAGTCCTGATTTAGTCCTAGATTAGTCCTGCTTTACTCCTTGTTTAGTCATGGTCTAGTCCTCGTTCAGTCCTGGTTTAGTCCTGGTTTAATCCTGGTTTAGTCTTGGTTTAGACCAGGGGTGTCCAAACTTTTTTCATCAAGGGCCACATATCTAAACACAAATGAAGCAGTGGGCCGTAGACTAGAGCTCAGTACAGCGAATAACTGAAATATGTGCATGTTTAAACATGTTAGAATGAACCATCAGTCTTTATTCATGCTAAGATCCTTAAAACCACACACTAAATATTGAAAATTGGCTTTATCAAGGTAGATTTTCAAAAAACTTGCAGTAAAAGTTTACTTTTCATTGATCAAGGCAATTTGGGCCAATTCACCTGGAAGCCTGAGGGCCAAGAAAAAAATATCTGAGGGCCGCATTTGGCCCCCGGGCCATAGTTTGGACATGCCTGGTTTAGACTTAGTTCAGTCATGGTTTATACCTGTTTTAGTAATGGTTTAGTCCCGGTTTAGTCTTGGTTTAGACTTAGTTCAGGCCTGGTTTAGTCCTGGTTTTGCCCTGGCTTAGTCCTGTTTTAGTCCTGGTTTAGACTTGGTTCAGTCCTGGTTTGGTCCTGTTTTAGTAATGGTTCAGTCCTGGTTCAAACTTAGTTCAGTCCTGGTTCAGTCCTGTTTTAGTCCTGTATTAGTCCTGGTTTTGTCCTGTTTTAGTCCTAGTTTATTCCTGGTTTAGTCCTGTTTTAGTCCAGTTTTAGTCCTGATTTAGTCCTGTATTAGTTCTGATTTAGTCCTGTTTTAGTCCTGGTTTTGCCCTGTTTTAGTCCTGGTTTAGACTTAGTTCAGTCCTGTTTTAGTCCTGTTTAAGTAATGGTTCAGTCCTGGTTCAAACTTGGTTCAGTCCTGGTTTAGTCCTGGTTCAGTCCTGTTTTAGTCCTGTTTTAGTCCTGTATTAGTCCTGATTTTGTCCTGTTTTAGTCCTAGTTTATTCCTGGTTTAGTCCTGTTTTAGTCCAGTTTTAGTCCTGTTTTAGTCCTGGTTTAGTCCTGTTTTAGTCCTGGTTTAGTCCTGGTTTAGTCCTGGTTTAGTCCTGTTTTAGTCCTGGTTTAGTCCTGTTTTAGTCCTGTTTTAGTCCTGTTTTAGTCCTGTATTAGTCCTGATTTTGTCCTGTTTTAGTCCTAGTTTATTCCTGGTTTAGTCCTGTTTTAGTCTTGTTTTAGTCCTGTTTTAGTCCTGTTTAGTCCTGTTTTTAGTCCTGTTTTAGTCCTGTTTTTTAGTCCTGTTTAGTCCTGTTTTAGTCCTGGTTTAGTCCTGTTTTAGTCTGTTTTAGTCCTGTTTTAGTCCTGGTTTAGTCCTGTTTTAGTCCTGTTTTAGTCCTGTTTAGTCCTGTTTAGTCAGTCTGTTTTAGTCCTGTTTTTAGTCCTGGTTTAGTCCTGTTTTAGTCCTGATTTTTGTCCTGTTTTAGTCCTGTTTAGTTCCTGGTTTAGTCCTGTTTTAGTCCTGGTTTTAGTCCTGTTTTAGTCCTGTTTTAGTCCTGGTTTAGTCCTGTTTAGTCCTGTTTTAGTCCTGGTTTAGTCCTGTTTAGTCCTGGTTTAGTCCTGTTTTAGTTCCTGGTTTAGTCCTGTTTAGTCCTGGTTTAGTCCTGGTTTTAGTCTGTTTAGTCCTGGTTTTAGTTCCTGTTTTAGTCCTGGTTTAGTCCTGATTTAGTCCTGTTTTAGTCCTGTTTAGTCCTGGTTTAGTCCTGGTTTTAGTCCTGTTTTAGTCCTGTTTTAGTCCTGTTTTAGTCCTGGTTTAGTCCTTGTTTTAGTCCTGTTTTAGTCCTGGTTTAGTCCTGTTTAGTCCTGTTTAGTCCTGTTTTAGTCCTGGTTTAGTCCTGATTTAGTCCTGTTTTAGTCCTGTTTTAGTCCTGGTTTAGTCCTGGTTTAGTCCTGTTTAGTCCTGTTTTAGTCCTGTTTTAGTCCTGTTTAGTCCTGGTTTTAGTCCTGTTTTAGTCCTGTTTTAGTCCTGTTTTAGTCCTGGTTTTAGTCCTGTTTAGTCCTGGTTCCTGTTTTAGTCCTGTTTTAGTCTGTTTTAGTCCTGTTTAGTCCTGTTTTTAGTCCTGTTTTAGTCCTGGTTTAGTCCTGTTTTAGTCCTGTTTTAGTCCTGGTTTAGTCCTGTTTTAGTCCTGGTTTAGTCCTGGTTTAGTCCTGTTTTAGTCCTGGTTTAGTCCTGTTTAGTCCTGTTTTAGTCCTGGTTTAGTCCTGTTTTTAGTCCTGGTTTTAGTCCTGTTTTAGTCCTGTTTTAGTCCTGTTTTAGTCCTGTTTTAGTCCTGTTTTAGTCCTGGTTTAGTCCTGTTTTAGTCCTGGTTTTAGTCCTGGTTTATAGTCCTGTTTAGTCCTGGTTTAGTCCTGTTTAGTCCTGGTTTTAGTCCTGTTTTAGTCCTGGTTTAGTCCTGTTTTAGTCCTGATTTAGTCCTGTTTCCTGTTTAGTCCTGTTTTAGTCCTGGTTTAGTCCTGGTTTAGTCCTGGTTTAGTCACCTCTCTCTCCAGGACTCTCTGTTCTTCTCTCGCCGTCTCCAGTTCGTCTTCTCGGCTCCTCAGCTGCTCCTGGAGACTCAACAACTGCTGCAAAACAAAACACACAGGAACATCATTCAAACGGACGACTGTGGAACTTCTCTGGACACCTGCTCGTCTCCATGGAGATGTGATTGTTTCAGGAAAGTCACATGGTGCATCTTTAACTTTAGTTTTAAAGATTATTGGGTTACTGGGTTAGATCTGAAATTCAAGTCGAAGAGAAGTGGAGAGAGAGAGTGAAAGGGGAGGTGAGAAAGGGAGCAAAGACAGAGCAAGAGAAGGAAAAAGAGAAAGAGATGGAGAGGGGTAGAGAGTGAGTAAGAGGAGAGAAGCAGAGAATAGAGAGATAGAAGAGGGAAAGAAAAAAATAGTAAGAGATAAAGAGAGGTGGAGAGAAAGAGTGAGAGGGGTGGAGAGTGAGAGGAGAGAGGAAGAGAGAGAGTTTCTGTTGGTGGCTTGTTCCATCACTCCTGTCACTTCTAATAGAAACAGACAAGAGTCAAATCAGGCTGAACTCTGAGCCTGTGGAGAAAAAGAGAGCGGATATTCAGAAACTAAAGTGATATGGGGAGAGAGACACGCTTTTAAACAAATAAACAGCATCAACTAAACAAGGACTAGTGCAAATAAAATGTACTCTGTGTTAAGGGCGATATCTTTATATTTTAAATATATCAAGATATTTTTAAACACAAACTGGATTCTGACATATCGTATATATCCATTGTAAGGCTTATATTGAATTCTTATTTTGCCACTTTGCTTGTTTGCCTTCTCAGTGCTCACCCCCGCCTCCTTGCTTTTGTTACCCCTCCCCTCGTATGTTTTCTCATTCACTACTCACTACTGCAGTGAATGCCAAAAACTGGTGTCAACCAAAGCTTCCAGCACAACAAACCTTTTCCACCATTTACAGACAGGCATCAGCATCCTCTGTCACAGAGAGAACACTTATATTCCACTGAGTCATGTCCTTTAGTCTGACAGAAGCTGACACATCAGTGCACAAGGAGCGACCTGTTTTTTCAGTGTTTACCATTTATGTAAATGAGCCATGTGGTTTTAACTTTTGTTTTTGTAAAACATAAACAAATGTATCAAAGCTGCATTAAACACATCATAATCTCAAATGGCTGATGTGGCTCTATAGTGGTTATGGTTTATATGTTGTAAAGTTTAGTCATGTAAAGTTTATTTATGCAGAAATTTATTTTAATGAATAATCTGCTGCAGTGTAAAACTTGTACAACAGTGTTTGGAAACATTGGGTTTGATCTGTGCAGTGGATTGTGGGAAACCTCAGAGCTCCTTACCTCTGGTGAGGAACACGGATCTATTAAAATAAGGAACATCCTGAGCTTCATAGTTCTGGTTATTGTTTGGTTAACAGAGATTATAATGCACAGATGAGCTTGAGTTGAGTTTTGGAGTTGAGGAAATATGTACTATGTCTTCCTTAATTTTATAGTTAAATTTATTATTTTATTATAAAGTATATAATTTTTTTTTGTAAATGTCACAGAAGCACTTTGTTCCTATGTGAACAACCGACCTCTTTGCACTTCAATAAAAAAGACCTTGTGGAATTTGTCATATTTGGTTTTGCAATCATTTTTGGGGGGGTTATTTTTCCTGTACACATATTGAAATATATATCGTAAATATATCGAGATTTTTGCTTCATATCGCACAGCTCTACTCTGTGGGTAAATGGTAAAGTAGTAAAGAAAATCCAGTACCAATAAAGACTAGGGATGGGACAAACAACAATAATATTGTGATAAAAAGGGTAGACATTTGTGATAACTGCCAACAATATACAAAAGAATTGTTTTATATATACAATATACAACAAATAACAGCCATTTTAACACTAGAATGTACTTAAAAAAAAAGCTGTTTGTCTTTACTGTTTTCTTCTAGATCTTTATTGTTTTCACTCACAAAGCACAACTCTATAACAGCCAAATAAAGACTAAGTATAGAAGAACTTGTGAAAAAAACTGAAGGTACTACTCATTATTGTTACCTGCTGCATTTGGTGCATGCTTTGCTGCAGCTGCTGTATCTGAGCTTCTGGGTTCTGGTTCAGTCCCTGGTTTAGTCCTAGTCCTTGGTTGAGTCCCTGGTTGAGTCCCTGGTCCTCCTCGGGTCCTCTGGCTCTGCTCTCTCTCCTCAGCAGGTCCACCTCGTTCCTGTATGCATCGAGCTGCCACCGGAGGGAGTCGTTCTCCTCACGCAGAGAGGCCTGGCTCTGCACGCCTGGAACAAACAGAAAGGTCAAAGGTCAGTGCATCCATCAGGGGGTTTAAATCTTGAAAATGCCCAAATGTATTTCACTTAAGTTAAGTTATTTCTGAGACTAATAATTCCCATTTCACCCAGACTGGTTCAGGGACAACAGACTCAACCTCCGACTGTTAGATTGCCACATAGCTCACACAAGAGTTGGTATAGCAGAGGTTGAGGGTTAGATTCCTGTACCGTTTTGCTCCGTGCAGATCCTTTTACACAGATGTTCATTGTCTTCTTCGTCAGACATCTCCATCTCTTCTTCTCTTCTGATCCCCATCACCTCCTCACTGTGGGCGTTCCTCAACTCCTGAAACACAACATCACCTAACATTAAAGTCCCACTGAGTAATATTTCAGACATTTTTGGTCTAAAAATTTTCATATTAACCCACACCATGATCCTGTTTTTTTATTTTGCTATTGTGTCCATAAATAAATTCCTGTTGCTAATATAGAACTTGGCTCCAAAGAGCTTCATTTAGAATATAGAAGAATATCTTTATTTGTCACCGTAACAGATACAACAAAATTACGCACAGTCCTCGTCCAGTGAAAGGTAGTCCCCTCGTGCTCGTGGACTAGGTTGTTGAGGCCTCTGACCACGACTGCCACCTAGTCCTCTTTGCACCCACAGACCAAAGGCCCAGCCATCAGGCGCACGCTTTTGACCCCCAACCCCAGGCCTGGCTCCAGGGTGGGGCCCTGGTTGTGCCATACTGGGCAATGTCACGATCCTTGGTATTATACTCTTCATAGGGCTCCATGAGCAAAGGTCCATCCATCCATTTTCTTCCGCTTATCCGGGGCTGGGTTGCAGAGGCAGCAGTCTAAGCAGGGACTCCCAGACTTCCTTGACCCTGGACATTTCTTCCAGCTCCTTCAGGGGGACCCCAAGGTGTTCTTTGGGCAGCTGAGAGACATAGTCCCTCCAGCTTGTCCTGGATCTTCCCTGGGGCCTCCTCCAGGTGGAACATGCCCAGAACACCACCCGAGGGAGACTGCTCCTCTTGAATCCGAGCTCTTCTCGTGTGACCGAGCTCCTCACCCTATCTCTCAGGGAGCGCCCAGCCACCTCGTGGAGGAAACTCATTTTGGCTGCTTGTGTCTGTGATGTTGTTCTTTCAGTCACTGCACAAAGCTCATGACCATAGGTGAGGGGAGGACTGTAGATTGAGCGGTAAATCGAGAGCTTTACCTTTCGCCTCAGCTCCCTCTTCACCACAACGGCTCGATACAACGAGCGCATCACTGCTGACGCTTCACCGAGCCGCACCGGTGAGCAAAGGCAGCGATAAATAAAAGATAAAAAGCGTCCATGAATAGAGTCACTGTGGACGTTTAAAAAAGTGCATAAAACCTCACACAGCCACACATATCCCAGTCAGACACATCAACTTTCATACATGTAAAACGTCAAAACTAGGCTCTGGTAGCACCTTTAGTGAAATAATGGTTGTTGGGTAAAAACTGTTTTGTTCTGTTTGTCCTGATTTGACTGGAGCTGAACACTGTGAACAACGCTGCACTCTCTTACTCCACTTCTTTATATACTCTATGTGACACCTACAGTATATGTCATAACACTCTCTTACCTTTTCTCTCACCTCTCTGTCCAAGTGTGTTTAGAGCTCAAAAATACATTAAACCTTCAGACTGTAAGTGGGCTTGCTTCTCCACAGACTTGACTGGTACTACCTTCTTGTTCCAGTAGAATAGTTAGTTGCTATGATCACGTTGAGGTTTGGTTTGTTGCCAGTGGATACTTAGACACTCTTCACGTTTACTGATTTGGTTAATGTAAGAATAAAGTGTGAAAGAGAGAGAGTCTTCAGTCACTAATGGCTCAGAGTTTTTCTGTGTGTGAACGTCTGAATATGTACAGCACTTTATTAGAACTCTCATCAGATCTGTGCTTTACTAAAGAACGACAGGAGAGACGGAGAGAACGGAGACGAGAGAGGAAGAGAAATGGTGAGGGAGGGACAAAAGGTGTAAGAGAGAAAGAGAAAAGGAGGAAATGATGATATGGTGAAAGGAGAGAGAAAGGAGGAGAGAAGGAGAGAGAAAGATGGGAAAGAAAGAGGGAGGGACAAGGGGTAGTGTAAGATAAGCAAGAAAGAGAAAATGATGAAATAATGGAGAGAAAAGAGAGAGGGAGGGAAAGAGAAAGAGTGAGAGTAGTAGGTAGTAGAGTGATAGGAGAGAGGAGAGAGATGGTAAAGATGGAGAACAGAGAGCGAGGGACAGAGGGTAGAGTAAGATAAGAGAGAAAGAGAAAAATAATGAAATGATGAAAGGAGAGAGAGAGAAGGGAGTAGGAGAGAAGAAGAAGAGAGAGAGAGAGAGAGGGAGAGACAGAGAGAGAGCAGAGAGGGAGGGAGAGAGGATAGTGGTGATGAAGACAGAGGAGAGAGAGGACGGGACAGAGCGAAGAGAGAAAGGGAAAAGGGATGAAATGATGAGAGGGAAAGTGGGGAGGAGGAGAAAAGGAGGGAGAAGTGATAAAGATAGTGAAGAGAGAGAGAGAGAGAGAGAGAGAGAGAGGGTATTGTAAAATAGAGAAAAAGAGAGAAAGGATGATGAAATGATGGAGAGAGATAAAAGAGAGCGTGAGAGAAAGAGAGAGAAGGTAGTGGAGGGAGTAGGAGAGGAAGCAGAAAGGAGGAGAAGAGAAGGAGAGAGAAACAGAGTGGGAGGGAGAAAGAGTAAGTAGCGGATTGACAGGCGAGAGAGAGAAGAGCAGTGGTAAAGATGGAGAAAAGAGAGGGACAGAGGGTAGTGTAAGATAAGAGAGAAAGCGAAAAACGATGCAATGATGAAGGAGAGAGTGGGAGGAAGAGAGAAGGAGAGAGAAAGGAGAGAGAGAAGGAGAGAAAAAAAGGATAAAATGATGAAGGAGAGAGAGAGAGGAGGAGGATAGGAGGAGAGAGAGAGAGTGAGAGATGGAGAGAGAGAGGAGGAGAAGTGATTTGATGAATGCAGTTTCCATAGAGACAGACTTACCACAGTGACACTGAGCACACACACGGCTTTAACTCAAACTGAGCTGAGCCGGACTCAGACTCTAATCACACACGACACACCAAAACTGGACTAAACCTGGACTAAAGCTGGACTAGACCTGGACTAGACCTGGACTAAACCTGGACCAAACACCTCAAACCAGGACAAAACCAGAAGAAAATCCTAAAACAGTGACAGCTCTGAGATTAAAAAAAGAAAAGAGATCGAAGTGTTCATCTCTGTGTCCTTGGTAGGGGTGTGCAAAAATACTGAAATATCGATATATCGTATTGTTTAATGTGATGATATAGTATCGATATCGTGGGCTGCTGTATCGATACACCAAAAAATACTCTTGGCGATATATTTTACTAAATTATTTTGTATTAAAATGGTGTGTTTCATATTCATTTGCAAGAGCAAAGACTTTTAGTTTCACAGTCATGATTTAGCCTTTATTTTTTATCGAACTGTATCGAATCGATTCGAAATATATCGTATCAAATTGAATGCTCGCTGTATCAAGCTATCTATAGTATCGTGGCCTATGTATCGTATCATGGCCTGTGTATCAAGATACGTATCGTATCGTGGCCTATGTATCGAGATATGTAACATATCGTGGCCTATGTATCGAGATATGTAACATATCGTGGCCTATGTATCGAGGTATGTATCGTATCTGCAACTTCTTAACTAGTCAACAGCCCTAGTCCTTGGAGTATTTGATTTTGACATTATTCCTTGTTTCTCTTTTTCTTTTTTACTTCTTGTCTCCGTTACGAGTGACGTTGCACTGTCTTACTCCATATCCTTATACGATGTATGTGACACATATATCGTAACACTCCCTCCTACCTTTTCTCTCCCTTTTCTCCTTCTCTCCCTCTCTTTTTCATCCAGTTTTCACATTTCTGACAGGTATCACAGAATACACTGTTCCCTCTCTCTCCTCTCTCCATCTTCCTCCATCTCTTTCACTCCCACTATTCTGGCAGTTATCAAATCATAACACACGCTGTATTCCCTCTCTCTCTCCCTCCTTCCCCCTCTCTCTCCTCCCTCTCTCTCCCCTCATTCCCTCTCACACTTCTGACAGATATCTGAACGCACACTGTACCCCTCTCTTTCCCCTCTCCCTCCCTGTCTCTCCTCCCTCTTTCTCTCTCCTCTCTTTCCTCCCTCTCTCCTCTCTCTCCCCCGCTCTCACTATTCTGACAGATATCATCATATCATAACACATTCCTTCTCTCTCCCTCCTTCTCTCCTCCCTCTCCCCTCTTCTCTCTTTCCTCTCTCTCCTTGCTCTCCTCGCTCTCCTCCCTCTCCTCTCTCTCTCACCTCTCTCATCCCTTTCTCCTCTCCTTTCTCTCCTCTCTCTCCCCTCTCTGCTCACTCTCCTCTCTCCTTCCTCCCCTTTCTCTTCTCTCTCTCCCCTCTTTCCTCCCTCTCCTCTCTTTCCTCCCTTTCTCCTCTGTCTCTCCTCCCTCTCCTCTCTCCTTTCTACCTTTCTCCTCCCTCTCTCCTCTCTTTCTCTCTCCTCTCTTCTTTCCTGACAGACATCCTAACACACACTGTATTCCCCCTCTCCTCTCTCTCCTCTCTTTCCCTGCCTCTCTCATCTCTTTCTCTCTCTCCTTTCTTCTTTCCTGACCGATATAACACACACTGCATTCCCTCTCTCCTCTCTGCTTCCTCCCCTTTCTCCTCTCTCTCTCCCCTCTTTCCTCCCTCTCTTCTCTCCTCCCTCCCCTCTTTCCTCCCTCTCCTCTCTCCTTTCTCCCCTTTCTCCTCCCTCTCTCCTCTCTTTCTCGCTCCCCTTGCTTCTTTCCTGACAGATATCCTAACACACACTGTATTCCCCCTCTCCTCTCTCTCTCTGCCTCTCTCCTCTTTTTCTTTCTCTCTCCTCTCTTCTTTCTTGACAGATATCCTAACACACACTGTATTCCCCCTCTCTCTTTCTCTCTCTTTTTTCCTGACAGATAGATTTCGTAGCACACACGCTGTATTCCCCTGTTTGTCGGCTGGATACGACTCGTGTTTAATTATTAAAAGTGAACCCTGGAAATCATAGTTTCCATGGCAGCGGTTTTCAGGAAGTGCAGCGCTCTCTGCTCAAGAGAAGACGTACAGAGACACGGATCACACACCTGTCCAACAACTCATCCTATATCTGACACAGAGAAGGACAGAGAGACAGAGAGAGAGGACAGAGACACGGATCACACACCTGTCCAACCATCCTATATCTGACACAGAGAAGGACAGAGAGACAGAGAGAGAGGACAGAGACACGGATCACACACCTGTCCAACAACTCAGCCAACACAGAGGGACAGAGAAACAGAGAGACAGAGGGACAGAGACACAGATCACACACACCTGTCCAACTCATCCTATATCTGACACAGAGAAGGACACAGAGAGAGAGAAGAGAGGGACACAGAAACAGAGAGATGGAGAGAGAGAGAGAGAGAGAGACAGAGACAAAGAGACAGACAGAGAGAGAGACAGAGAGAGGGAGAGAGAGAGAGAGAGACAGACAGAGAGAGGGAGAGAGACAGAGAGACAAACAAAGAGAGAGACAGAGAGAGAGGCAGAGAGAGAGACAGAGAGAGGAAGAGAGGGACACAGGAACAGAGAGATAGATAGATAGACAGAGAGAGAGAGAGAGAGAGAGAGAGACAGAGAGAGAGGGAGAGAGGTAGAGAGACAAAGAGACAGACAAAGAGACAGAGAGACAGACAGAGAGAGGAAGAGAGAGGGACAGAGAGACAGTTAGAAAGAGAACGACAGAGAGAAGACAAAGAGACAGAGACAGACAGAGAGAGCGAGAGACAGAGACAGACACAGGAGAGAGACAGAGAAAGAGAGACAGACAGAGAGAGAGAGAGAGAGAGAGACAGAGAGACAGAGAGAGAGAGAGAGAAAGGGAGGGACAGAAAGATGGCGAGGGAAGAGAGAAAGAGAGAGAAAGAAGGACAGAGGGAGAGAGAGAGAGAGTGGGAGGGACAGAGAGATGTCAAGGGAGAGAGAAGGAGAGGATAGAGAGAGGGGGAGGGAGAAAGAGCGAAAAAGAGACGGGGAGGGGGAGAGATACAGTAGATAGGTAGAGAGTGAAAGAGTGAGAGAGGGGGGGCAGCATTAGAAAATAAAGGTACTATATGTTCGTCAAATCTCATACTATTTTTTATTATTTTATTACAAAACCGTTGGACATAATGGTCAAGATTGTGGAGATTCAGAGCTTTCACATGAGGCCTGTCCATAATCTGAGACTGTGCAGTGCTCACCTCACACTGCTTCCTCCAGATCTCGATGTTCTTGCGCTGAGCTTTGGTGAAGTGGTCCCAGGCCTTTTGTTTCGAGGCAGCCGAAAACACGCCGCAGATCTGCTCAACTACAGAAAGAGAGAACAGGAATTCAACCAAAACTCAAACAATGGACTGATTTACACATCCTGTTACGTAAACCACCAGTGACCCTGCAGTTTAGACTCGTACTATGATACTGTGTTATGTTTTTTGGTGCTCTGTGGACGGAGCTCTAGGCGCAATCTTATGCAATGAAAAAATCAAATAATTACAGACAGACAGATGTGAGCTCCATTATTTCAGTTATTAAAAAAAAAAAAAAAAAACTAACAAAAGGCTGTGTGTGATTTGTACTGGACAGATGTTCATTAACAGATTCTTGTTCCATTAACACTTGTGAAACAGAAAGTAATGCAGCTGACACCTCTAATGTATGAGGTCTAGTTTAGCCCTGGTTTAGTCTAAATTTCGACCTGGTTTAGTCCTGGATTACTCTGGTCACTCTGTATTCTTAATTTACACCTTTAGTCATTGAACAGTCCTAGTTTACACAGGGTTTAGTCCAGGGTAAATCCAAGTTGTGTCCTCGTTTAAACTTGGTTCAGACTTGGTTCAGACTTGGTTTAGCCCTCGTTTAATCCTAGTTTAGTACCGTGTTAGTCCTAATTTAGTCCTGGATTAATCCTGGTTTAGTTCTAGATTAGTCCTAATTTAGTTTGATTTTAATCTTTGGTTTGGTTCTAGTCCTTGGGTAGTCCTAGTTTATTCCTGGGTTAGACTTTGGGTAATTTTAGTAAATCCTAGTTTATTCTAGTTTAGTCCTGATTTATTGGTTTAGACCTGCTCGAATCCTGATTTTGTCCTATAATTTAGATCTACTCTAATCCCGATTTAGTCCGAGTTTTGAATTGGTCTAATCCTGATTTAGTCCTAGTTTAGACCTGGTCTAATTCCTGATTTAGTCCTAGTTTTTAGACCTGGTCTAATCCTGATTTAGTCCTAGTTTTTAGACCTGGTCTAATCTTGATTTAGGCCTAGTTTTTAGACCTGGACTAATATTGATTTTGTCCTAGTTCAAACCTGGTCTAATCCTGATTTAGTCCTAGTTTTTTAGACATGGTCTAGTCCTGATTTAGTCCTAGTTTTTAGACCTGGTCTAATCTTGATTTTGTCCCAGTTTAGACCTGGTCTAATCTGATTTAGTCCTAGTTTTTAGACCTGGTCTAATCTTGATTTTGTCCTAGTTCAGACCTGGTCTAATCCTGATTTAGTCCTAGTTTTTAGACATGGTCTAGTTCTGATTTAGTCTTAGTTTTTAGACCTGGTCTAGTCCTGATTTAGTCCTAGTTTTTAGACCTGGTCTAGTCCTGATATAGTCCTAGTTTTCAGACATGTTCTTGCTGCAGTCCTTCCATTCTGTCAGTCTGACCTCCCCTTGACACCACCTCACAGTCTGATAATAATGAAGCCGGAGCTGCAGCCGAGGATGATGGGAAAGCGTTGTCATGGAGACGCAGATCCCCGACAACTAAACGGCCCGGACGGAGGAAGAGAGGAAGAGGAGGAGAAGGGCTACGAGAGTCCAAGCTACAACAAGAAATATTTTTATTCACATTGCCCTTTGGATAACTTTTATGTCATCTGTATACCTGGGAGTACTGTGTGTTGCTATCTGGGGGCACTTCTCTGTCTGAAGAGCTCAGATTAGACTTTAATCTGAGTTTTGTTAGTAGCTCCATTTCTCAGTTTTCATCACTACTACGGAGAAGATAAATAGATAGAAATAACCCTTTTCTTCTCCTTTCCTCGCAGATGAAGAACTGAGGAATCTACGGGTCGACTAAAACACATACACTGGTTGAGGATGGAGAGCAGAGCGTTCTTGAAGGTCTCTTTTGCCCGCTCCAGCTCCTCTTCGCTCTGGGCCTTGTCGGTGATGAGCTGCCTCACGTGGCTGTTGGTGGACTGGATCATGGAGTAGAAGTGGTTGGCGTTTCTTCGGTTCACTTCGCCGCGCTCGATCCATGTGTACAGAACCGCCGTGGCATCGCTGAATTTATGATCATCTGAGAAACAAACACACAAGAGTAAAGTGAGATAATAGATAGAATGGGAGTTTTATCTGGCAACCGTTAAACAAAAAATTCAGGATTTGAGTTCAGAGCATCTTCAAGACCTGTGTTCCTCATCTGCAGAGGTCAGTATGAGGGCATAGTTTAGTCCTGGTTTAGTCCTAGTTTAGTCCTGGTTCAGTTTTTTCCTGGTTTAGACCTGGTTTAGACCTGGTTTAGGTTTAGACCTGGTTTAGTCCTGGTTCCTAGTCCTGGTTTAGACCTGGTTTAGACCTGGTTTAGTTTAGACCTGGTTTAGACCTGGTTTAGACCTGGTTTAGACCTACCTGGTTTAGACCTGGTTTAGTCCTGGTTTAGCCTGGTTTAGACCTGGTTTAGTCCTGGTTCAGTCCTGGCTTAGACCTGGTTTAGACTTGGTTTAGACCTAGTTTAGACCTGATTCAGACCTGGTATAGTCCTGGTTCAGTCCTGGTTTAGACCTGGTTTAGACCTGGTTTAGACCTGGTTTAGACCTAGTTTCGACCTGGTTTAAACCTGGTTTTGACCTGGTTTAGTTGTGCCTGGTTTAGTCCTGGTGTAGACCTGGTTTAGACCTGGTTTAGACCTGGTTTTGACTTGGTTCAACATAGTTTTGTCCCGGTTTTGACCTGGTTTAAACCTAGTTTTGTCCTGGTTTAGACCTGGTTTAGACCTAGTTTAGACCTGGTTTAGACCTGGTTTAGTCCTGGTTCAGTCCTGGTTTAGACCTGGTTTAGACCTAGTTTTGTCCTGGTTTAGACCTAGTTTAGACCTGGTTTTGACTTGGTTTAAACCTGGTTTAGACCTGGTTTAGTTGTGCCTGGTTTAGTCCTGGTGTAGACCTGGTTTAGTCATAATTTAGACCTAGTTTTGTCCTGTTTTAGACCTGGTTTAGACCTAGTTTTGTCCTGTTTTAGACCTGGTTTAGACCTAGTTTTGTCCTGCTTTAGACCTGGTTTAGATGTGCCTGATTTAGTCCTGGTTAGATCTAGTTTAGACCTTTAGTTGTGCTTTAGACCTGGTTTAGTTCTGGTTTAGTCATTGTTTATACCTGGTTTAGGCCTGGTTCAGACCTAATTTAGATCTAGTTTAGACTTGGTTTAGTTGTGATTTAGACCTAATTTAGATCCTCCTGGCAAATAGCATCTCACTCGTTGCTTTAAATCTTACCGTGACTCCAATGCTTTGATGCGAGCCCCTCCTTCTCTCACTAATACTATAAATAGTTCGATAAACCGGCTTTATTTCCTCTAAATAACCTTGGCAAACCCTTTCTCACCTCTCCACACTGCAGCCCATTATCCTGTATGCCTGGCCTATTGTACTGAACACATTACAGTATATGTGTAATCTACCATAGCTCTGAATAGACTCTTTATGCTGGTATAACGTCGTACTGAGCCCTCTAAACGCTTTCTAATTCAGCCAAACTACAATTATTATTCAAATGACTGAGAGAGCATTAGGTCCATGGAGACGCCGAGACAGATCAAATATACAGCGGCTGGTTTGAATGAAAAGACTGCGCACACTGAATGATAGAGGAGAGAGGAGACGAGGAGAGACTGTTGGTTTTTAGGGTGAAAACTAAAGAACAAAAAAAAAATCTGTAGAAAAAGGGAAGCAGTACATTTTAATGGGTAATTGGAATATACTGTAGAACATAGCAGGCATGACAGTGAATTCTAGAACGATGGAGGGTCTTTCTGTGCGGAGTTTGCATGTTCTCCCTGTGTCTAATTGGGTTTCCTCATAGACTGTATATAAATGGACATAGCTAACCCACAAGTCGTCATGTTCCAAATAGGAAATGACCATGGTGGCGCTTCCGACTCTATTGACTCTGGTTCCAATTGACTTTACATTTAAAATGTGTCACCTCTCTGTTGCTGCTGCAGTGAACCTTGTCCTTTTGGTCTTAAAATGTTCATATTAACTTGCTCTACGTGGTCCTGGAGTTTTTATTCACTGTTTTGTAGGTAAATAAATTCTTATTCCTAATATGGACCTGGCTCCAAATTCGCTCCTATAATTTCCAGCCTCAGTGAGCTTCATTTGACTGGAGCCAAACACTATGGGCAACATCACACTCCCTTTGTCCACTTCTTTATACAGTCTAGACAGACTTTGACTCTTCCTTGCTCATTGGACAAGCAAAAACAACACAATGCAAAACAAAAGAGACACTTTTGTCCAGAGAGCTGTTCCTCTCTTCAACCTGCCTCGACACAGACCTGATGACCCTACCTGACCAGTCCTCTTGTTAAACTGTACTGAGACACAAAGGCCACTGAGAAGTGCAGTACGTTGGTGATCAATGAAGTATAATTATATATATAAGGGGTGTAACAGTACATGTACTTGCACCAAACCGTTTCGGTATGGGAAGTTCAGTTCGGTGCAGGGCTGTGTGTTCACGGAATTGTGTGTTAATTCCGTCACATGTGCAGTACGGAAGACTCGGCTCATTAATATTCACGAGGGAACTTGTCCGTGATTGGGGTGGCAGTGTTTCTGCAGCGATTTATAGTTAGGGCGGACGCCTGGACAACAATTGTCCCCCGGCAGTGTCCCTCCGAACCACATGAATCCTCGCAAAACTACGGTCGTCACACCGCGGCCCTCACTCTCGCCTTTCTCCGGCACAATCTCTGCCACCCCCCATACCCCCCTCATACCCGTGACCTCTGTCCCTAGCGAAAGTGTATTTTCCACTGCTGTGAACATTGTAACTGCCAGTAGATCTGCGCTTACTGCAAACAATGTGGACAAGTAGATTTTTCTGTCCAGAAATATGAAGATGAGTAAAACTTCATGCTGGAACTGTTAGTGCTGAGTGCTGTTTACTTTTTGAAAAAAATTGTTTACTGTATACAAGGAATTAATTTGTTAGAATATTTCATACATTTGTTGCTTATTTGAAAATATTTTATCTAATTTATTAGTATTACCAACAAACAACAAGCAAATGATTTGCACTTTGTTCCCATAATGTACCAAAAATTTACCGAAGAGTATGGGACCCATCTCCAGATCTTGAGCTAGTTTTGATCAGGATTAATTTAGCTGGAGAATTTCACCTGTTGTACATGTTTTGAGTTGATGGGGAAAACCAAAGTACTCAGAGGAAACCATCCAGACACAAGCAAAACATGTAAACTCCACAATGAAATGATCTAAATGATTCTAGTAAAGGTGTATGGAGTTTAAAAACACAGTGGAGCACTTACTATATTACCTCATGACATCACATGAGTGCTTTCTGTTTAAGGAAAGAACTCAGCCTAAAAATGCAGGGTTTGTGTGTTATGTGTGAATGAAACAAAAACACAACTCCAGGTCTGTTTGTGATGAGGACACATTAGAACATAGATCAGAGAACAGCGTAACACGGGCCCTTTAAACTGTATTCCACCCCTGTGTTTCACCTCTGCAGTGCTAATCTGTTTATAGTGTACAAAAAGACATCAATAATTGCTCAGGTTTGTCAGCGGGCGGTGCACTGTTGGATTACGCACCCCGTCAATCCAGGAGCGCTGTGACCTTTGACCTTTAAAGCAGATTTGGTAGAAGGCAGTGATTTTGGCTGATTAAAAACACAGAGATTTGGGAGGTCACTGTGAATGCACCTGAGACTGGAGTTATTCTTGGACACGGATTAACACAGACGCAGATGTAACAATATCCAGACCGCTCGATATGCATCTCATGGTTTGATATTTATTGCGATATTTTGTGGAGGCTTCCAAAACTGAATATGATACGATGATATATTTAAAAGTGCTTAGAACAGTTATTTCTTCATGTAGTCTGCACTGCAATGGAGCAAAGGATCAATACATTTTAAATCTTAAATCATACTAGAGCTGTCAAAAGTATCGAAAATCACATACTAAACGATATTTGTAGTAGCCAAAACTTGCACTGTACAGGTCCACTAGGTTATAGCTTGTGTGGCGCCTCGGACCTGTGTAGAGTCCAGAAAATACTGTATATATATATATACACAAAAACTATGTCAATCGTTAATGCTTCATTTGTGCTGTTTTGTGCTGCAAAAAGTTTTGTTTGTGCTGCTTTAGTTTTGGAGATATTAACAATTCTTTTGTATGTCAAATTGGGGTCAGCCAGCCCCCAGGAAGTTTCAAAATCCTCTAAAATGGCCCCAAATGGTGTAAATCATTTTGTGCTGCAAAACAATTTAAACCATTTGTGCAATCATGATTCTTTAGATATTATAACAGTTTTATTTTTGGCCCGAGGACGTCATCCAGCTTCAGAACAGGCAGAAAATTATACAAAATGTTTGTATTTTATTTGTGCTGTGAAAATTTTAATTGATGTTGATATGACATCATTTCAGCTGAAGGCAGCAGCTTTAATAAAACTCCATAAAACTAGTGAAGAGAAACGATCTCAGGATGTGGGAAAGTCTGTATCAGTCTTTAGTAACTTGCTTTTGATACTTGCTTTGAATTCATATTTCATATAATAATACAGACTTTTTCACAACCTGAGATTATTTATCTCCACTAGTTTTGTGGAGTTTTGTTAAAACCGCTGCCGTCAGCTGAGCGGAAAGGAACGTCATAAATAATAATTAATTATTTTAGAAATATACTCGCACAAATGAAAATTATCACAGCACAAACAAATATTTTGAGGCTATTTAACATTTTGCGGGGCTGGATGACACCATCTGCCAAAAATAAAACATAGCTAATATCTTAAAAACCATAATGGCACAAACTAAACATTTCACAGCACAAAACAACACAAACGAAGCACAAATGATTGACATAGTTATTGTGTAGGTTTGCTAATGCTATGCTCCTGACTGCAGATATGTTTTTGAGAAGGTAACAACATTATAACCCGGTTTAAAGCTCACAAGAGTCAATTTTGCGTAATATGAGACCTTAAAAAAAACACATGAGATAATTTTATTTCCTCCTCACCTTTGAGCCTCTCTGCGAGCACACTGGCCTCATGTTCAGAGTAGTGCACTATGGGAGGAGGTGACGGGGGTCTGAGGAGCTGCTCTTGGACCCTCTGTCTGTGCCTCTCCTCTCGTGCCCACAGTCTCTGCTTACACTCCCACTCGTACAGGTCATCTCTTGCCTGGGCAAAGTCCACGTGGATCTTCCCAGAGTCCTTCTTATCTGTGCTCGAGCCGATGCGCATACGGTAACCTGGAATAAGAGAGTGAAACAGAGTGAGAACTAGAGAAAAAACAAAAACTATGTTGAATCTGGGAGGGTGGGAGTCATGCATGTCTATGGGGGAATGTTCATCAGTTATCCATGGTGACACAATGAATAGACCCTGACCCCTGAGTTTTTTAGATTGTCTGTAAACTCAAGAAAAAGTACAAATTGGATTTAATGGGTCAGTATTTATTTATTTAGTTACCTATGGGTTTTTATCCCGTTTTAGACGTGGTTCAGTATTGTTTTAGTCCTGTTTTAATCCTGTTTTAGTCCTGTTTTAGTCCTGTTTTAATCCTGTTTTAGTCCTGTTTTAGTCCTGGTTTAGTCCCGATTTGACCCTCTTATAGTCCTGTAAGTCCTGTTTTAGTCCCGGTTTAGTCCTTGCTGGTTTAGTCCTGGTTTGGTCCTGTTTTAACTTTATTATAGTTCTATTTTACCTGTGCTCTAGTCCTGGTTTAGTCCTGGTATAGTTCTGGTTTAATCCTGCTTTATCCCTGGTTTAGCCCTGTTTTAACCTTATTATAGTTCTATTTTACCCCTGCTCTAGTCCTGGTTTAGTCCTACTTTAGTCCTGGTTTAGCCCTGTTTTAGTCCTGGTTTAGTCCTGATTAGCCCTATTATAGTCCTGTTTAGTCCTGTTTTAGTCCCGGTATAGTCCTTACTGCTTTAGTCCTGGTGTAGTCCTATTTTAACCCTATTGTAGTTCTATTTTACCCCTGTTCTAATCCTGGTTTAGTCCTGGTCTAGTCCTGGTTTAGTCCTCGTATAGTCCTTGCTGCTTTAGTCCTGGTGTAGTCTTATTTTAACCCTACTATAGTTCTATTTTACCCCTGTTCAAGTCCTGGTCTAGTCCTGGTTTAGTCCTGGTTTAATCCTGGTTTAGTCCTGGTTTAGTCCTGGTTTAGTCCTGGTTTAGCCCTGGTTTAGCTCTGTTTTAGACCTGGTGTAGTCCTGGTTTAGCCCTGTTTTAGCCCTATTATAGTTCTATTTTACTCATGCTCTAGTCCTGGTTTAGTCCTTTTGGGGTAACTGTACTGACTAAACCCATCCTCAGACCTGAGAGGTAGAGGGCCTTGTCCACCATGAACTCCTCAGTGAAGCGGATGTGGCAGAAGTTCTTCTTGCTCTTGCGAATGGCCATGATCTCTCCACACTGGTCGAACACTTCCCTGATCACTTCCTCTGTGGCGTTCTCCGGTAAGCCGCCCACAAACACTGTCCTGCAGCCTGGGGGGCGCTCCCGAGTCGACGGAGGGGGCAGGTCTAGAAGAGGACAGGAAATGATCATTCACTGTATATATCACGGACATTGGGCTCCAGTTATGAATGTTTTCTTAAAATATGTTTGTCACTTCCAACTTCCAAGATCTGCACCAAGTTCACAACACGCTCTGAAGGAGCCAAATGAGTTCCTAAATGAGAGCTGCGTCTAATTCACCAAAATTAGATACAAACACAAAAAACGCTCTCTGAACTTCCACATATGACCACTGTGGGTGTGAAACATGTTAGAGCACGAGGGAGAGCGTGAACTAGGAAGTCAGATGGAGCCCGTCTATAGTCTGAACGCTCTGGTCATGAGGGGTGATGGGGGTGCAGGGGTGTTGAGTCCAGCGCAGTGTGAACCATAAGGAGTGCACTGGGGCTGGACAGGTTCACTAGGGTTTGTAAAGTCTGTTGGACCAAGTAGACTACATGATCTACAAAACTCCTCATAAATGTTATTGGATCACATTATATTTTTATAAGAAATAATTTAAGAAAATATAAAACTTACAATCATGTAGGAATCAACATGTTTGGTTGCATTATCAGAATAATAATATTCTAAAACAGTCACATTTTAGAGCTTACAAGTTCTCCTGACTCTTCTTAGGATTTGTTTTGAAAAATAAATTCAGTTAAGAAAAAGTTGCGTGATGCCAAAAGAAATCCTGAAGTACACATTTGTCATTCCAGCCACTCACTATAATCACTATAAGATTGAACCAGGCTCTAAAGTTGTTTTTGATAAGTAAAGCCTGGGGGTCTAATGTATGACATAAAACTGCAGGTGTAATTGTGTGTGTGTGTCTGTATGTGTGTGCGTGCATGCGTGTGTACTCACTGGGGTTCTGGGGGAACAGGGTGCAGCTCTTGCAGTGGATGATCTCTTTGACCACAGGCACATCTGGACCAGGACCAGGACTATGGACCAGACCCAGACCCATGAGAGGGTTCAGGGGCGTCAGGAGGCCCATGGCGGGATCGAAGCGCTGCAGACACAACGGCTCTGAAATCACAAAGCAAGACAACATCAGGGGAAAGGCTGGGACGGATTAGAAAACACACTAACGGACCTAACTGAAGAATCTCTGCATCTTCTACAATAAGAAAACAACCATCCATGTTCATCACCATCAAAACTCTATGAAGGTCGCGCCACCAGGCCAAGTTACAGGTCAGATCTGTAGAGAGGCAACTCCACTGATAGACAGACAATATTTTTCAATGTATCATAAAAGTATAAAACCATGGAGACAAGCAGCCACCAGCGATGTTACATGATGCAGACAATTTGGATATAATCTTGAACACAATACATGTTATCCATTGTCTGTTCTGGGTTGTATAACAGGCCCCCAAAACACTTTCAACAGATTTGTTTTGAGTTTAAATCTTAGACAATTTTGATGTAATCCTGACCACAATGCATGTTATCTATTGTTGATTCTGGGGTGTGTAATAGGTCAGCCAAACACATTCAGCACATTTGTTTTGTGTTTAGATCTTGCAGATGTTACTGACTGACTTAAATCTAGCTTTTGCAATGACCCAAACTTTATTCTAATCACATCCAGATTTTGACCTGAGAGAATACATTTTCAAATCATCCTCCTTGCGTCTGTGCGTGTTTATTCTGGCAGAAGCAGCTGAACTCAGAGCCAGAGGAAATGAGGGGTTTACGGTCATTTCAGAGTCCAGACGTTTCCTCAGAAATGCGAGTAAAATTACACTATCACCGTGCAGGTCTGAGGTTGTCTGAGGTAAATTCCGCAACACAACCTAGCTAGAGGTTTAGCTCACTGCTCATTACCAAGCAAATCATTTAAAAACACCTACTGTGCTTGTGTCTGCTATACACCGTGTGCGTAATTATTAGGCATGTTGTATTTATGAGGATTCATTTTATAATTACCGTGCTCGGGGTCAATCCAAAATGTTAATAAACCTCAAACCTGAATATTTAAGAAAGTAAAAGTGAAATTTTGGCTTTCTTAAGGCTGCCACACACTACAGGATCTTTCGACGTACGACAAAAGTTTTAGTTTTTTGATCTGTTGATGATCAATCACAACCTCCCAAACACAGTTCAGAGAGGTGGACTGTTTTCCTTCAACGTAAATCCAGAGTAAGTTTTTACTTTAAGGTCCAGTGAAGATGGAGAATTGTCCTGCATAAAAATCATGGTCTTCTTGAAAGATGCAGAGTTTTTCCGGTGCCACTGCTTGAGGAAAGTGTCTTCTAAAAACTGGCAGTAGGTTTTGGAGTTCATTTTGAGTCCATCTTCAAAATAAAAAGGTCCAACAAGCCCATACCCGTACCTCACCTCTACCTTGCTGGCATCTGAGTCGAAGTGGGGCTCTGTGCACTTTACTGATCCAGCCACGGGCCCAACCATCTGGTCCGTCAAGAGACACTCATCAGTCCATAAAACCTTTGAAAAATCTTCAGATAGTTCTTGGCCCAGTATTGACGTTCGACTTATGTTTCTTGTTCAGTGGTAGTCAGGTTTCAGCCTAATTTACCTTGGCCATGTGTCTGAGCACTGAACACCTTGAACTTCCAGGCTCTCCAGGTAGGTTGCAGTTCTGGAATATGATAGCGATGGGAGATAATGAGTTCCTGGCAGCTTCATGTTCCGGCAGCTGATGGTTCTGTGATCACACTCCAATATCTTTACTATTTCAGGATTGCTGCATCCCTCAGACACTTTCAGAGTCAGTTTCACAGGGCAGCTGTGGCTACAATAGTAATTTACCACCAGCGAGTGTGGAGTGAATTAATAATGCTCTGTAAAGCGTCTTTGTGACATATGTCTTTGAAAAGCGCTATATAAATAAAAACAAACTTACTTACACAGAGGTAATTCCTTAACTATCTGCTATATTACACAAAACTGATTCTCGTAAACTTTAAGTCATGTTATAATGTTGTTACCTCCTCAAAAACAGACCTGGAGTTGTGTTTTGTTTCATTCACACATGTCTGATGTAACCCTGCGTTATAATTACCTCAGAATGCTCTGTTCCACATTGTGATGTCATGTAGTAATAGTCTTAAGTTCCAGCTCCTTTTACCTTTAGTTCAGTAGAGATTGGCAGTTCCAGATCTGAAATTATCCACATTATTCTAGTGTATGGAGTTTAAAAACACAGTGAAGCACTTCCTGTATGTGTGAATGAAACAAAGCAGAATTACAGATATGTTTCTGATGGATAAACAACATTATAACATAGACCATAAATAGTGTAATATGGGCTCTTTAATCACCCTGATAGCAGTAGTGATAACCACAGTAGTACAGCTCATATTGAAGATTTGCAGATTCTAACCTGTGATAGTGATTCCTGTGTGTTTTTAAGTGCTCAGATATCTGCAGTGTGTTTGTGAGTGTCCTGATAGCAGTAGTAGTAGTAATAGCAGTATTTGTTGGTCTGTGTGATAGTGATGAATGCGTGGGTGTGTATTTTTAAACGCGCTGATATCTGTGACACCGTTTTAACGAGTTCCTGTGGCCCTGAGGAGCGGAGCCGGAGCAGAGAGGGACCGGGCCTCGCTCTGGGCTGCTCACAGTCTCAGTGATGAATGAGGTTTGTGCTGGGGTTTTCTTTAGACACAAGCTTTTACTGCCTCCACCTGAGCCAACTAGGAAATATACTAGTACTACAAAATAACACTCAAGTCTGTTTTACTACAGCATTTTTACACAGTTATGTTCACTTCAAGCATAGAAGGAAAACAGCAATATAATATGTGAAAGGGCTGAGTAACAAATGCAATTTTGAAAAGCTCATACTACACTCTTTTCTGTTTTGTTATAATGTTGTTTCCTCATTGCAAACAGACCCGGAGTTGTGTTTTGTTTCATTCACATTTTTAACACACAAATCCTGCATATTTTCTCTCAAAATGGAAAACCCTGTTCCACATTGTGATAATACAGGAAGTGCTTCATTGTGTTTTTAAACTCCATAAACCTTCAGTAGTATCATTTGGATCATTTCAGCTCATGAATCGACAACCTCTGCTAAACAAAAGGTAAAAGGTAGCTGTTAACTTTGCACTGGGGGTGTTCAACATGTATCTCTATATGTGTATAAAATCCTTCAGTCGTCCGGATAGAATCCATGGCAAAAGGCAAAACGAGAAATTCAATTTGTTAACTGAGTCCTCCATTTCTGTTCAAATGAAACTACTTCACAGGAGGATATGCCAACACAGACGAGAGAGCAATAGTGGACCTCAGTCTGCTGTACACCTCCATCTAAAAGCCACGGGCCACTCCTTTGAGAATAATGAGGTACAAATCTTAGCCAGAGAAAAGAACTGGTTTGAGATGGGAGTTAAAGAGGCTATTTTTTTTTTAGGAAAGACAATCCATTTTTAAACAGAAATGAAGGACTCAGACATCCATCTATCTCATATTTACAACTCCATCCTCAAAACTAAGCAGCTTTGATGAGCTGTGAAATGTATTCCACCAAATAAACTTTTGTCCAGTTGAAAAATTTAATATTTCCTTTTGCCATGTATCTCTGTGGTGGAATGCTCAGTAGTTACCACAGTGACACAATACACACATTAACAAACACTGTCAAAAAGGTTTGAAGACTTGATTTTAGATACTACAGGCTTTTCAGACCATATCTGGCAGAAGACCTTCAAAGGAAATAGTTGGAGGGAATGAACCATTTCATAACCAACCAAAACAACAGAGTAAAGTGAGACTGACGCCTTTTCTGTTGTGTTCACTTGGCGCCTCCTGGAGACCGCTGTGACGCTGCAGGACCCAAAGGAGGACATGTCTTCTTCTCCTCAAACTGCCCTGACACAGATCTGCTGACCCGACCTGACCAGTCCTCATGTTAAACTGCACTCAGACCTTTAACTGAGACACAAAGGTGAAAGAAAAGGGCAGTGCTGTATGCAAAACTTGAATTTCCCTCTGGATCAATGATCTCTTTATATAGTTTCAGTATTGATTAGTATCTGATTTTAATGCTTTTGACAATTTTAGTTTTGACAGGTGAATTTCTTTCTGCTCCCCTCTCCTTCCCACCCCCCCTCCGTGTCCTGCCCTCACCTGCTCTGGTCTCTCTGTTTAAACACTGAGGACTGTGTTGTGGTTTAAAGGCAGGGAGCAGCCGGGGCCCAGGTCTCAGACTGCATCAGGAGGACCGTACATCAGCTCTGCTCCACAGTAATCACAGGACCATTAGTGGCACTGCGCTCTGACGGCTCCTTCAAACTCCATTTCATTCACTTTAACCTGATTTGGAGCAAATGCACAAAACAGAGGGAGGCGTAGCACAAGGGCAGAACAGCAGGAACTAGCTTTTTCCAAATAAAATAGGAGAAGAAAGAAGAAAGCTTTTTGCTGCAGAATCTTTATATTACTACAGAAGACCTATTATGCTTGTGTTTGCTAAATAGTTATAATCTGTAACACACATGGATCATTATGTTATCATTAGCACATTTTACTGCAATATTGATCTAAAATGATTTGAAACTGGGGCTGGCTTCCGCTTTAAATCAAGGCTCAAAACTCATCTATTCAAACTGGACTTTATCTAGGGCTGGCTATCATTAAGAAGTTGCCAATACGATACATACCTCGATACATATGCCTCGATACAATCCATTTTTCAATATAGTATACTTTCAATTCAGTACGATTCAATGATATATTTCAAATCAATTCGATACAGTTCAGTGAAAAACAGGCTAAATCATGGGTGTGATACTAAAAGTCTATTAAATCCTCTAAGTTTGTGCAACATTAATATGAAAAACAACCATATTACTCATCAAAACAGTGAGAATGTCAACACAATTGTAGCTCTCACACAAAATAATTTAGTAAAATATACCTACAGCATACAGCAGCCCATGATATCGATACTGTATCATCAAATTAAACAATACGATATATCGATATTTCAATATTTTGGAACACTCCTAATTTTAACAATTTGTGAAATTAGTTTTATTTCATTGTTTAATGTTTTGCATGTTTTTTTTATTCTGTTGAGCTTAATGTGAAGCACTTTGGTCAATGTGAGTATTGTAAAGAGCACTATAAATAAAGTTTGATGGGTTAGAAAACTGCTGTGCCTAGTGGGAGCCGGCGTCACCGTGACATCAAAATGTCCAAAATAACAATGTGACGCTGTTAAATCCTATGTGTATCACTGATTAAGAAAATATAACTTATAATATAACCCTTCCACACCTAATTTTAGTACATTTTTCCTCGCCTAGATTTTTTTTCTTAATTTTGCCATTAAAACTCTCAATTTCACCCCCTAATGAAGTGTTATACATACTTTTTTCAGTACAACCTGTTATTTTACATTCTGCAGCTGTAGTTGTGTTGTATGGCTGTAAGAAAAGCTATAAGACCAGAAATACAAATAATAAAAACAAAACAAAACAAACAAACAAAAAAGGAAAATAAAATTCCCACTATTGCATACAAAACACACAGTAAACATGTATAAACAACTTTTTGGACATAAAAAAATGTTTAATTTAGGGCCTTAGGTACAAAAGTGTAAAATATCAAGTCTGTAAGTAAACAAAAAAATATTCTTATTGCCTTAAAATAAAAAAGGTGACAGGTGTTGGCAGGTCCAGGACACAGAGCCACATCACTTCCTGCATTTCCATGGTCTATGTTACATTTGGATTTGTACATTTTGAGTGAAATAAACCTTTCATTTGGACTGGCTTTTTCAGTGATTATGAACACAGACGCTCAGAGCATCGTGCATGTGACGTAGGATAATGCCAGATATATATATATATATATATATATATATATATATATATATATATATAATAATATATATATATATATATAAAAAAGTAAGTTTCTTTATTTATGGTAGGAAAGTTATGCATGGTTATCTAAAACGGACTGATTATGTTAAACAGAGACGGTATTGTATATGATACCATCGGTCTGGAAGGGTTAAGAGCAGTGGGTGTGTACCAGTGGAGGTGAAAATGGGCATAGATTGAAGCAATGTCTTGAATACAGGAGAATGAAGATTAGATCAGTTATTAGAGAAAACAGAAATACACATTTCTATTTAAAATGTGTTACTGACATCATGTTACAGGGAGATATCAGAGACAGATGCTTTGTTTAACCATTGTTTATCTGACATGTAAACAACATATTTGAGAAGAGTTTTGCAGCCAAAATCTGCAGGTTGATTTATGTAAAATATTCACTGTTCGTGTAATCACAGCCACACTGCAATGATTCTCTGCAGGCTTTAAACCAGCTCTGTTCTCCATATAGAGCTTATTCACTGTGAGATCAGTAGTCTCATGCAAAATAAAAGAAAAGTTACAGATTTATATTTTAGGAACAGTTGGTAACCTGGAGAAAAGTGCTTGTGTTTATGTCACTGTAAAAATGTAAAAGTACTGACATAATGGTTATAAATAAAAGAGCTTATTGGACCAAGAGTCAGGATGGTAAATCATAATATAGTTAAAATGGTCAGCTGAGGGTTCATGTGAGGATATGCACGGCTCTTTAGGGGTTTGAGGCTCCAAACGTTGAATCACAATGAAATACAGATGTGAGAAAGTCCCTACGAGCAGATTAACTGTAAGTCCAGCTCTGAAAAAGAACTCAAACATGCACCAGCTGGGATTTCACTCAGCGCTCAGGGAACTCAACCAACCCTATAAATCTGAAATGTTTTTTTTATATCAAAACAAATCACATTCGATTTCACATAATCACGCAGAGCTCAGTCCTGAATCCACAACAAAACAGCTATAAATAAAGGTGCACTATGTAGCTTTTCTGGTGGGGGTTTCACTACCTGATTCTTTTGCTTGGAATTTTCAACAGCATGACACTATCCTTAATAATACATGTATTTAATATGAAATGTTTTCAATTGCTTAAACACACACAGAGATAAATATAAATTCCCACTGTGAGCTGGCTTGCTCCTCCACAGATCTGACCTGTAAACTGGCCTAAAGAAATAAAGCAATAACATCTATGGACACAAACAGGGAAAAGTTATTCCGCCTTTAATGAACACGTATTTGATCAGCAAACTAAACTAGCAATGTAACTTGTATGAATAATATTGATAATACATCGCTGTCAATCAGCCGTGGGCCTCTCCAAATGCCACAAATCACTCACACCATAAGGAAGACAGCTGAAATGTCTTCCCCAAAGGCACAACAACAGAGCCTCCATTACCTGAGATGAGCTGCTGTGTGCTGAGCCCCATGGGGACGATGCCCAGGTTGTTCATGGCAGTGGCCCAGGCTCCAGGCTCCGATCCTGGGATGGAGGGGAGGGAGAGAGGGGGCTGCTCCGGAACCACACTGCCCACTGTGTCTGCAGCGGAGGGGAGAGAGGGGGAGACATTAAGGACAACTAAAACCCATTTTTACAGAGAAAATTCACCAGTAGGACAGCAGGTACGCTGAGGAGAAAAGCAGGTGGACACAGGTGAAAAACTATGGAGCTGTTAAGTGATGATGTCACTTCTCCAACCAGAAAGTTCAACATAGATTTATAGATTTGTTTTTGTTCCTTAGTCATCAAGCAAGAGACAATAAGCTTTCAAAAGTGTATTTAAACACAAGTTATATCAAACATGTACATAATGTTGTAATATAATCCTCACTAACTGTTGGTCATCATTAACGTTACCTTAGCTAGCACCACCAACACCGGTGACAGTTCTGAAGATGGCTTGCAGCTAGCAGCCGAAACATGTCAACAAGGTAAATACACTTTACTGCATTGTCTTTAAAGAGAACCTAAGAAGTTAAAGTATATAAGAAGACATAATGAACATCATTGACCTTAGTTAGCTTCTAAACTTGTCTCACACAGGAGTAGAAGGTCGTAAAAGCAGAAGTGGGCTCCAATTTTGTTCACTAGCTCCACCTACAGACCATAAATGTTATCCAGCAACGCCACCCCGAAGGGAACAGGTAAGTGTGACGTGACAGAGCTATGAACTGGGAAAATATATAATTTTATTTAGTAACTCTGTTTTTTTTATTTTAATTCATAAAAGTTTTTTTTTTACATTCACTCTCTCACAAATAGATACATAATACAGTTGACTAAGAACAGTATTTAACATGTTAAATCTGCTGCACCAAAACAGGTCCAGTACCCACAGCAGCAGGAAGGGTAGAAGGGGAAAAAGAAGTGTAGGAGGGGAGAATCACCAGTCTTTAGGCCAGAGAAAGGTGATTTTTAGGCAATATTAAAGCTTAATCCGGCACTCAGGCTGCTTGTACTGCTCCTAGACAACGAGTGATGTCAGAGGTGAACAAGGGCTTGAGCGGCGAGGGACCCTCCCTTTTAAAGGTTCAGGACACCCGCGATAGGCTACCAGCAGACACAGAGGCATACTGCCACATAAACACTGATCCATACTTATAACTTTGTTAACTTTAAACAAATGCAAACTTTTTAACGTGAGACGTGCCATTGCTAAAAAAAAAAAAAAAAGGAAACTGTAGAAGGAAGAGGAAGCTGTAACATTCTTCACTACATTTATTGTTTTCAATCAGATGAGCTGGTTTGCCAGATAACATCAAACTGGGGCAAAGGGAGCAGGTTTTAATGGGGAAATAGCATTATAAGAGGGAAACATTTCAAGGTACACTATGTAACATTATTTGATGGAATGTATGACATGAAACATATCTGTCTTGTGTTTTATTCATCTGTGAGTGTTTTCACTGCTAAACAAAAATGCACAAACTCACAATGTGAAAAACCTACTAGCAGATATGCTCATAGTAGCACACATTTGAGTGGTATTTTCAGTGTACGTACCACTAGCCATAGCAGATGTCCTTTTGCTGTCCTCACATCAGAATCTTTTTCACACTCCAGCAAGACCGGCTCACTGTGCACCTGCAGAGAGAAGGGGAGAGAAATGTCCTTTTATTTACAATATTAGAAATAAGTTGGGTGAGAGTCCAAGTTTTGCGCCCTGTGTCACCAGTCCCAGCAGGTTTATACAAAACCAGTGATTTGTCCTAGTTTTATACAAGAAATGTCCCCAGTGTCCCTATTTTTAACCAATTTGATACCTGCTAACAGTAAAAAGAAGCATGAAGGATCATCTGTTTAGGTAAAATACAAAAAAGCTGCTTAAAAATGACCAAAACACAGAAAATATGACTAAACTGACTCACATGTTTGTCATAAATAGACTGAGTGCAGAACAGTTTTCCTTAATTACACACTTGTTTCACAATATTATTATTATCAACCACAAAACAGGGTGTAATAGTTTTTGATTTTGAAATTCTGGTCACATTAGAAATAAGATAAAACAGAAGATTATACACTGTAAAATACAAAATTTGGTTAAGTTAAGTTGACTTGAATTAAGAAAATGTAAATTTCACTTGACAAGACTTTAAGTATTTGAAAATATGAAAGAAAAACAACTTTTTGCACGTAAAATAAGAAACAAAATTGAATGTTGCTTAAATTAAGAAAAACACACTTGTTCCATTGGTAGATCATTTTACCTGGACAGTTAAATCGACTCAAACAAAGTTAAACGTTCTTAATTTACGTCAATTTAACTTGCCTAGATATTGTTTTTTTTCCAGTGTACTGGTCCAAAAATTATATAGGTCCAATAATGTAGGAAGTTCACAATTAAAGCTACGCAATGTTTCTTATCAATAATATCAGACGTCACTTTGCCTGCTCATAAATACGTTCTATGCCAAAGTTATACACGTTTTCATTTTTTATTGCTGCAAATGCATTTTCAGCTGACTTAGAAGTGAAAGAAAGTTCAAACTACACTGTGTGGGGGCTTCTCATGTCAGAATGAGATGATTTCAGGGGTGAGCTCACAGTAGAACACACTGCTGTGGCCAGGACAGCCCCATGACTTTTGACGCGCTTTCAATGCATTTTGCCTAAACATAAAAAGTGAAATTGTGGGGAAACTACAAGAGATATCAATGCCATTTTTGTTGTGCAAGTAGGGCTTCTGGACCTGTACAAAATACACTTGGAATCTTGGTTCTATCAGATTCTATGCCAAAGTTATAACGCATTTTCTGTGTAAAGGTTTTCGCATTTTCAGCAGGTGTAGAGCATATTTACACCAACTATGCAATCCTGCCTTAGAAGTGAAAGATTAAAGATCAGATTAAAGTCTAATTTGAGTAACAGAGCTTCAGATGGAGCAATACCTACAGTTAGCATTACACACCCAGGGAATTTTCATAACATCAGCTCCCAACTATCGATACGAGACAACATTTTTAAAGCTCTAAACCAGTGCTTGTTGGAGGGTCAAATATGTAACCACTGAAGTATCAATACTAAAAACGTCCCATTCACAGGACAGAAATGAACCTTGCCTCAGTCGCTTTAGAATGATCTTGAGCTGCATGGATGGACTGTGAAACCTACCTGGACCACTGAGGGAGTACACAGATATAAGACCGCACAATATAAAAGAAAGTACAACCATTTTAGTATTGTGAAGAGGAGGAGACGGGGAGGGTGAGAAGGCCCATGGTTACGCTGCATCGATTCAAATTAAAACCATCTCATCTGAGCCTGAATCTAATCACGCAGGGTTGTCAGATGTGCCAATCATTGTGACGGTCCCGCCCCCGAGCTGTGCTTCATTTGTAAGTGTCACTTTAAGATCTGCAGGAGAAACATCAGACTGTGACTCACACAATCTGACACTGGACAAGTCCCAAAGACAAGGCTGAGGAGAGATGGGGTATGTGTGTCTGTAACAGATACGGGACAATTAAGGCAAGAGCCTGCCAAATACTGATCCTCTGCAGCTGATGTCATGAACATTCTCTGGGGGTGTGATGCTAACTGAAAGCACTGCTCTGTTAGAAGCTCTGTTACTCAAGTTACACTACAGGATTTTTCAGTCTTAAAGGATTTTTAAACATGCGACAAAAAGTGCACACCACATACACAAGGAGAATTCTACGAGATTTTAAATCTTCAATTGCCAAGACTGCAGTGGGATTGTGGGTGGCCGAGCGGTTTTGGAGGCATCAGTGTAGGAACACAGCCCAGGATGGTTTCTTTACAGCTTTCTTGGCAGCTTTATTCCAATAACACTGAGCAAACAACATCATCAGACAACAAAATTAGTCCCACTTTTAAAAGGGTCCACAGCCTCCCACTGATCACTACCAACAATTCAGGTGACCAATTAGTCCTATCCATTTTACAATGAGACATAATTCACACCTTAAAATAAACATCCACATATAATACACACACATATCAATATAACATAAACATCCAATTCTATAAATCTCCACCATTTCTCTCAGAATATAAAAATATACATTTTACACCCCTGCAAACTCTCCACTTTTCAAAGTTCCCACACCGGAAACAATATAAGCTGGGGGAGGTCAGTTCAAGCTGCCTGCCAGCATTGGTAAGTTTTACTCTTATAACTCCACATTTATCCATTTTTGTTGCTCAAAACTTGCTAATTCCCCGCTGCCTGTGCTTTACAGCGTGGCCGATCGACAAACAATGTTTCACTTTTTTTTTTTGGCTTTTAGAAAAATAATAAAAATGTCCATACAACATATATATTTTGCATCACTTTATTGAAAGTCATTTAAAATGACAGTGACAGGGACTCCACTGTCACAGGGATATGGCTTCAGACCACAGGCTACAAAACCCGCGTCAGCTGTTTCCTGTTTCAAGTAAAATGACTCACTTTGAGATTCTTAAATGTTCAAAGATCAGAGCACTGCACTTCTATTTTAGATACAAGTCAAAACTGTGTTATTATCTGTGAAATGTAGTGCAAGACTTCCGATCCATGATTTTTAAAGTAAACAGGAAGCTCGATCGCTACACCCTGATCTGCGGAACTACGCTCACCTTTTATTTCTTTTAAAGAACACTTCAAACTTCAAAACAACGCTGTTTTGTGGACTGGGCTTAATTATTTACAGAGGACAAATTTAATAGGGATAATAGGGATGAGGTGCTGCTGAGATTTTACAACTTTATGAGAGGTTGTAAAGTTGCCTCATTATTTTTGAGTTTTTACCTGAGTTTGTATGTTGCGTTGTTGAGTTTGTGACCCTCGCAACCTAAATTGGGCAAATTCTCCCGTAGTGTGTGGCGTAGACAGTGTAGACAGACTAATAACAAAGAGTTACTCAAACACGTGTGAGTGAAACAAAACAACTCCAGGAACAATATGTTTTTGATGAGGTAACATTCATGGCTTTAAAGCTCATAGGAATCAATTTTGTTTAAAGGTTTACTCATGAAACCCGGTCAAAATAAAAATAGAGATAAAACCAGCACTAAAACAAGACAAATTTTTGACTTGATAAAGAAAATCTTTATTAGAATCATCTTTATTA